CGTCTGGAGACCTGCCGTGGCCCGTTGGGGTGGCGAGCCTGGAGCTGGCAGGAGCTCGCTGCAGGAGAAAACAAGGACTTAAGGAGCTAAGGGAAGGATGCCTCTTCGAGAGCTATTAGCAGCAGTTAAATAAACAATGCAGTGAGTAAATCAAATAGCGCCTTGTCTCAGTTGTGGCTTGCTCCAGTTTTTATTTCCAAGGAGAGCAGCAGCCTGGCGTGTGCTGCCGTGCCCTGGGCTCCTCCGGCCGCAGATCCTGAGCGAGCCAGCAGCCCCCCGGGAGATGAAGCTGAAACCCAGCCCCAGCTCCTTCAGGCAGGGTCTCGGGGGAGGACACAAGACAGTCTTTGTGTCTCTACCTGGAATTGGGAAGGGCGTCCCCGTGCCGCAGCCGAGCCCGCCCAAAGCGCTCCCGACACCGCCGCCGGGCGCAGGGTGTTGGTGGCAAAACGTCTCCACCTGGTGGGGACGGCAGGGCGAGCCCGGCACCGGGACAGCCTCCCGAGCCGCCCCGGGAGCCGAGGGACCGGGAGGTGTCCCCGGGGGGGCCCCGCTGGAGCTCGGTCGGTGTGTGCCCCGCCCCCGCCCCGCAGCCGCCCCACGGCGGGACTTGGGCTCGGGCACCAGAGACGGGTCCGGACTGACCTCCCCCCCCCCTCCCCACAGCCCTCTGCACACACGGTGGCTCCTGCTTCCCAGGCACAAGTTACTAATCACGGGGGAGCCCCCCGCAGGGTGCAGAGCCCCCAAAACGCAGGGGGGCTCTCCCCAAACCCTGCCAGCAGCTCCATCCCGGGGGGCTGCAGCGCAAGCAGAGAAAACAACTCCGCTTCCCCCTGCGCTTACTCAGCTCAGGGTCAGAAGCGCTCATCAAACCCCTTTGCTTGCAAAGCACCTGAATAAACCTCATAACGTTTCCCCACGCCCCCCAAAGAGGGCAGGCAGCTGCCTCTGCCCCACGGCTCTGTCCAGTGAGGCTCCAGGCAACATTTCTGCCTCAGGGCTCCTAAACAGGCTTTTTTAGTTGTTTTCCCCAAATGCAGCCATGGGTCCAGGAAGGATATTTTGCTGCTCTGCAGAAGCACGATGTGCCTGCCCTGCGTCTCAGGAGGGGGTCATAAATCCAACCTGGCATCCAGGAGCAGTCTGCCAGCACCATCCCAGCCCTCGCTCCCCCGGGAGACTCTGTCCTCACCCCGGGCACAGCGAGGCCTTGTCTCCAGGCACCACGACCCTGAGATTCCCAAGGGAGCCGGGTGCCTTCACCCCCATTTCCCAAGGGAAGTTAGAGTCATTTGATGGAAGCGGGTGCTCCCATCACAGGGAGTGACAAACATCTCACATGCACCTGTCAGACTCTGCTGCTTCACTTCATACATGGCTTTGCAAGAAGGAAAATCCAACCCCATCCCCAGATCCCTGTCTCCTGCGCAGTGCAGCCCTGGGCATCCCAGCCCAGCCAGAGGATGCACAGCAGCGGAGGGAGCAGTTTAAGTGAAAGCAATCCAAATTCAGTGAAAGCTTTGGTGAAAGTGCTCCTGCTTTCCCTGGAGGCTGCAGAAGCTGGTGAAGAGCGCCAGGGGCCTCCAGGTGCTTCCCTCTGTGTCCAAGGAGGCCCCGAGTGCCACTCTGTGCAGCCCAGAGGCTGTTCTCCCACACCCTGGGTGCCACCCGGCGCTGGCCTGGCTCCCGGAGAGCTGGCAGGGAGACGGCCGAGGAAACGCGGAGCACAGCATCCCTCTGTGGTGGATCAGGATAAGAGCGGGCTCCAAGGAACCACCTTTAACTGCCTTGGGGCTTTTTTTTTCCTGGGATCAGCTGGGAAATGAGCATCTGAGCTGCTGCGTTTAAATCTGAACCTTTAAACATCCCTTCCCTCTTCCCCCACCCCAGCACCCTTCTACACAAAGCCCCCTTTTTCTCTGAAGCTTTATTTTAAGGGTAAGCTTTAAATGACTCATTTTGCAAAGGAAAGAATTGTGCTGTCAGGCTCTTTTAATTTTTTTAATTTCCTGAAAGGTATTTTTTTCCACACTGAGCAAAAGCTCCAGAAGAGCTTTGGAGAGCCTGGAGGAGGCGACCAGAACATGGTGCAGTGGGTCAGCTTCCCGTCTCTGCTTCCCACCAGCCTCGAGCTCTGCTGCCCAGCCTTCTCCATGCTTTCCTGGCCAATTAGTGGTTACAACATGCACACAGCCTGAGCAGAACCGCTCCGGCTTTCCACACGTTCTTGCTCATCTCTCATGTTTTGATAAGCCTTTGGTAATAACGAGACGATGGGAGATAATGATGGGCAGACGTACCAGGAGCACAAGACCCTGAATCATGTTTTTCCTTCTAACCAGCTGGGTTAGAAGAAATGAAGCAGTGGGACGGGTTTGGATGTGGGAGCTTCATTGTGGATTTCCCACCTCCTTGCTCTCGGCTGCTTGTTTTTTCATTAGATGGGCATTAACCGCCTCCTTAGCATGCATATGGAGTGGCCTGTTGGGATGGTTCTGGTAATTGAAAAGCAGTCTTAATCATCTTGACCTCAGGCTTCCAGATCTTAGTGCTTTATTTCTAGAGCACCATTTTTTCCATTTTTCATGGAAATGAAGCTATGCTAGCTGCTCTCTTGGCTCAACTCCCAGAAAGCTCAGCAGCTTGACCTAAGGAGAGGCAGCCCGAGCCGCTATCTGGGGCAGCGCTGGAGGACAGCCTGATTAGCGGGGACGCGGGGAGCCCATGCCAAGTGTGTGGCAGATGATCTGGTATGAATTTCAAAGCTCTGCTCCTAAAAGTTGAAAGACAAAGATTAAGGGAGACACTTTCCATGGCATACAAGGCGCCAGAGCTGTGCTGCTTAGGGAAGATCCCCGCTAAAGCTCTGAGCAGCAGCAGAAGCAGAGCCAGGAGCGACGGGGCTTTGCTCATCCCCATCTGCCAATATTTGGGCAGGACTTGGGATAGGAGGGGAGGAAATCCATCAAGATATTGAGGAAAAAAATGACAAGAGCAGTGCTGGGATTACATTTAGGAGGGACATTCTCTCCCTGCCTCCTTTGAGGGGACACATTTTACCATTCTAGCTCTGGAAGCATCCCGTGGGACAGCCGCCTTACCCAGGCCACTCCCAAGCTCTAAGGAACCCTTGTCATCCCTGTTCCCAGTCTGGTAAACCCAAGATGCAACCGCCAACACTGTCAGAACATTTCACAAGCCAGGGTTTAACAACTCCTGACTTACAGTTTCTGCTAAGCAGGTGACTTTGTGCCTCCTTTGGGCAGCGATTGCAGAGATGCGGGCGCGGGGCCAGGTTCGGGCACAGCACAAACCGCCCCAACCCGCACCAACCCGGGGGTGCGGGTGCTGAGATAGCATGGGGAGAAGGCAAAGGCTACATAAGGACCCAGATAAGGCCACAGGTGTTCCAGCAATGTCAGGGAAATGGAAAAAGCCTCTTTTAAGCTGCTGTTGTGCCATCAGCCAGAGGAAGCACCCAGCACAGCCTGGTCGTAACCCGCCCCTGAGGCACTGGTATGCACAGCCAGGGAGAGCCACAGGGAAAAAGGAGAAACCAGGTGAATAAAATCAGCAAGAGCCAAATACTTCCCCTCTCCCTATGGGAGCAGGGACTCCCCACCTTCCTGAGTCCCCCAGGTATCTGGTGACCAAACCCACCCATAGACGGAGCAGTTTTTGTGTCCCCCCAGGGGCACAGGACTCTCACTTTGAGCAGGGAAAGCAGCTAGCTCTCCTTTTCCCGTTCCCTTTCCCTTTCCCTCTTTCCTCCATGGGCACTGGGCAGGGAAAAAACAGGTCCCTTTGATAAGAGTTTGTAAAAAAAGAACTATTATCAAGATGACTTTCCTTTTATGTTCAGCTTAGGTTTTTGTGGGACAGAGGTCAAGCCAATATCCTCCCAGGGTGTGTACGCTGCAGATTATTTTTATAAATGCTGACTTGTTGACTTTGCGGTTGTAAAAGATTTTCACAAGAAACGTATCCCCTCATCTCCCTTGCTTTTCACTGATAATTTAATTGCCAACTATGTGGACAGAAAGATATGTAATAAGGCCAGCTCAGACACTGCTTAAATACTTGCTTTAAAAGGCATGACTTTTTTTCCCCTAGCATTACCAATTTTTGTAACTTTTGCTTTTGAAGGTTGGATTATCCAGTGCTCTTCCAGTCACCAAGTGACTCAAAAATCTCAGTGCTTGTTTGAAAATAACTACATTAGTGGTTGTGTTTTTATGAGGGAAAAAGCTCGAGAGTGAAGCTCAGTGTTTAGAATGCCGAGGAACAATATTAGATGGCAGCTTTAAGCTGATCAGCGTTAAGGTCCCACATGCTGGTAGCACCCTACAGACAGAGCGTTTGTGTGCAGAGCTTGAGGACAGGCTGCTGGGCAGCCTCTGCAGGAACAGGCAGCATCTCCTCCTCACCCCCAGCACGGGACGCCCTTGCAAGCAACCCAGAGGCGTTGCGGATGCGCTCAACTATGTTGCGGTTCAGCCCCAGGCCTTGAGACCCCTCCATGCCTTGCCCGAGGCAGCCGGTCGATGCAGGCCTTTCCACGGCGAGGGGCTGCATGCCCTACACACGGGCTGGACGCACGGCCCTGCCTCACCAGGCCGTTTGCCACCTCCAACCAACCAGCGGCTCAGCCGCTCCATTTGCCCCGTTCTGCTGCTTTTGCCCCGAGAAGGGGAAGAGGCGACTCTCCGCGGGCCGCACACCGCGGCAGCGCGGCCTGCGGCGGGCCGAGACCGGGCCTTAGCTCCGCGTAGACAGGCGGAAGGTAGGCCTCACCGCGCGTAGCGAGACCACCCGTCCCCCGGCCGGCGGCGCCGCGCCCCCGGCCCGCAGGGGGGAGTGGGAGGGGCGCGGGAGGAGGCCCCGGGAGCCGGCGGCGGCAGCAGGCCCGCGGGGCGCGGCGGAACGGTTGCTGCGGTAGCGCGGAGGTGGGCGGGGCGAGGCGGCGGCGCCGTCGTCACTTCCGCGTGGGCGGGGCGGGTCGCGGCGGCAATGGCGTTGTCGCGCGCGGAGCGGTGCCTGGCGCTGCTGCTGCGGCTGCTGTCGCGCGCCTGTCTGGCGCTGCTGGGGCTCGTGACGCCCGCCCCGCCGCGCGCCGTCCCGCCGCCGCGCCACGAGCTCCTGCTGCTGCCCGCGCGGCGGCTGGCGGCGCGGCTGCGCGCGAGGGAGGTGCGGCAGGGGTTGGCACGAGCGGGCACCGGGGAGCACCGGGGCATTAGAGAGCACGGGGGAGGGGCGGGGAGGGGTACTGGGGCGTCGGAGAGCACCGGGGCCGGTGGGGTACCGGGGCCGGGAGGCATCGGGGGAGGACCGGGGGACACCGGTATAACGGGGGCACCGGCATCACGGGGACACCGGAGCAACGGAGACACCAGCACCAGGGGAACACTGGGGATTACTGGGCCTGGGGGGCGCACCGGGTTGAGGGGGCATCGGCAGAGGCACCGGGGCGTCGGAGGAGCACCGGCACCGTGGGGCGATCAGGGGGGGACACTGGCACCAAGGGGTTTGGTGTTCCAGGTGACGTGTGTGGAGGTGGTGGAGGCCTACGTGGAGCGGATCAAGGAGGTCAATCCCCTCATCAACGCTGTCGTTAAGGACAGGTGAGGTGGGGCAGGGCGGGGACAGGGTGCTTGCCCCCCCCCCAGCCTCCTCCAGGGCCCCCTGGGCTACAGCGGGTGCCGGGAGCAGGAGTGAGTGGTCCCTGCCGGGAGCAGGAACTCACCCCCCCCTGCAGAGATCCCCTCGGTGTCCCCAGAGCATCCCCCTCCAGTTACTCCTCCGCAGGTTCGAGGAGGCTCTGCAGGAGGCCCGGCAGGTGGACAAGCTGCTTTCGGAGGGCCCTGCCGATGACTACCTGGAGGAGAAGTTCCCCTTGCTCGGGGTACCCATCACCGTCAAGGAGGCCTTTTCTCTGCACGGTGGGTTTACTCATGCCCCCCCCAGCTTGCCTGCTCCATGGGGCAGTGGGTGGCTGTGGCTTCCCTTACCCTGGTCTGCACCCCCCTCTGCCTGGGCACCTGTGTCTGTGTCCACTTCTGGCACCCACTTGCTGTGGGGGACCCCACTGGGGACCTGCTTCTGGCAGACATGGTCCCTGCTGCCTCCAGGGTGGTCTCAGGGGAGCTGCCCCTGACACCTCCCTCTGTCTGCCTGCAGGGATGCCCAACACATCTGGCTTGGTCAACCGCCGCAATGTGGTGGCCACCTCGGATGCCACGGTGGTGTCGCGGCTGAAGCAGGCAGGCGCCATCCCACTGGGTGTCACCAACTGCAGCGAGCTCTGCATGTGGTATGAGTCCAGCAACAGGGTCTACGGCCGCACCAACAACCCCTATGACCTGCAGCGCATCGTGGGCGGAAGCTCAGGTGAGCCCTGGCTCCTCCGCGCCCTCCCACGCCAGCAGCGGGTCAAAAGGCAGCCCGGTAGCCCATCTGGAGGCCCAGCTGCTTTAAAGGCAGCCCGGTAGCCCATCTGGAGGCTCAGCTGCTTTGCACGACCCAGCATGGCTGTGGCTCGCTCTGCCATACCCTCTGTGCCAGCAGCAGTGCTGGTAGGGCACTGGGGCAGGGAAATCCCCATGTTCCCTGGCTGTCCCCTGGACGTTGCTGACTGCCAAGGCACATGGCCAGCATGAGATGCCCCTGCTCTGCTGGGTGATTCTCTCTGTTTGCCCATTCACGCTCGATTTGTGGGCGTTTTCTGTGTTTCCTCCCGTGCAGGCGGGGAGGGGGGCGTGCTGGCAGCAGCCTGCTCCGTCATCGGAGTGGGCTCAGACATCGGTGGCAGCATCCGGATGCCGGCCTTCTTCAACGGGGTCTTCGGCCACAAACCCACCACAGGTACAGCAGATGCAGGGGTCTCCTCCCCTCCCCGGGAGGCAGAATGCAGGTTGTGGGAGGAACCTGCTTGGGGACACTCCTGTGCCGGTCTCTGGAGGGATTGCTGTAAGGGGGCAGGCAACTTCTTGGGCAGGACAGGCCCGCTGCGTGAGCGCAGCCTGGCCTTGGGATGCTGCTGGGAGGCAAAGCGCCAGGCACGTGGGAGGTGGGAGGTTTTTTCCCCCTGGTATTGCATCTTCAGCGTGGGATGTTTTCCCAAGGTGGGGTTCAGCTGCTGGGGTGTTTGCCTGGCACCTGGTGTCCCAGCTGGGTGCTTTCCCTCCTTTCCCCTCCCTGGGCACCTCGCCACCAGCTTCCAGGCGCTGCCCGTGTGTGCGGACCCTGGGTGACAGCCCCTCCTGCACCCAGGGGCTGCCTCCTGCACGGCCTGTCCGGGTGGGTGCTCACAGGATGGTACCCACTGTCCCCCTTTGTGCTCACAGGGGTGGTCCCCAACGACGGCCAGTTCCCCAACGCTCAGGGGGTGCGGACCAGCTTCCTGTGCACGGGGCCCATGTGCCGCTATGCTGAGGACCTGGAGCCTATGCTGAGGGTCATGGCCGGTCCTGGAGTCAACAAGTAGGTTCCTTCCTCGCGGGAGGGCTTTCCCTGTGAGCTGCTTCAGCCAGCATGGCCCTTCCCTCCTGCAGCTAGCCTTTTTTGGGGGTTTTACCTGTGTTTTTTCCTGTTGCTAAGTAATGAGTTTTCCATCCCATCCCATGGGCTCGTTTGGTCTCCTCCTGGGTCTGTGCAGCCAAACAGGCTTTTATGTGCATGTACCAGTAGGGAGCAGAGACAGGGCGGGTCCTGCATCGTGCTGCAGCCTGCATGTGGCCGTTTCTCCGCTACCGCTTTTGTTTCCCCACGGCTCTGGTGGTGCAATCCCAGCCAGGGTCTGTAATTACCAGCTGCATCCTGAGAAATGAGGGTTTTGCCAACAGCAACAGAGCCCCAGAACCAGCAGGTGCTGAAGGGGCGGGCGAGCGACTGGGGGGGCTGGGGACAGTTTGTGTCTGTGTCTTCAGGGACCCTCCTTCCCACCCTAATGGGCAGAGCAGGGTGTCCTAAGGATATTTTGGATGTCCTGAGCACGCATTAATTGCACATGAGCAGCTCTGGCAGCCGGAAAGGAGCCAGGGATGGATTTGGGAGCAAAGTGCCGTTGTTTTCCCAGGCTGAAGCTGAATGAAAAGGTATCACTGGAGAAAATTAAATTCTACTGCATGGATCATGATGGCGGGTCTGTTTTTGTGTCGCCTGTGGACAAGGAGATCTTGCAGGCCCAAAAGAAGGTAAGAAGGAATGAAGGTTGGCTCTCACTGGCGTGAGCCTTGCCCAAGGAAGTTGTGGATGCCCCATCCCTGGAGGGGTTCAAGGCCAGGCTGGATGTGGCCTTGAGCAACCTGCTCTAGTGGGAGGTGTCCCTGCTCATGGCAGGGGGGTTGGAACTCGATGATCTTTGAGGTCCCTTCCAACCCAAACCAGTCTATGATTCTATAAAACCTGGGGGATCCAGTTTGAGGAGTCTCTTGCGAGTGGCTGTGGATGCCTGTGCCAGCAGCACCCGTGTGTTGGAGTGCATCAGGGTGACCAAAGTCTTTGGCCCAATTTCCATTGCAATAGCTGTATCTTGCTTTCTTAATGTCCCCTGTCCATGTTATGGGGACCTTCTGGGGACATGTCACACAGCTGTGTGTTTCCCAGGGTTGCTGCCTGGCATTTAGTCACACAAAGAAACTTTTTTGTTTTTCAGTGAAATCGGTGCTGCTCTTGGTGCTCTTCTGGAGCATCACAGGGGGTGGTGTGAGGGCTGTTTGGGGACCTCCAAAGGTCTGTTACCGGATGGGGGAGGTCCTGCTGTGGAGGGCAGGAGCTGTGGGGTTCCCTGTGTGGGCTCTCTCCTGTCCCTGGATTCCCTGGACTGAACCCAGCACATCCTGTCTTTGTGGAAAAAAAACCCTCACTATTCCCCTCAGGTGGTGGAGCACCTCGAAAGCGAGCTGGGGGTCCAAGTTCAGCGCGTGTCAATTCGCAAGATGAAGTATTCCTTCCAGATCTGGTCAGCCATGATGTCATCCAAGGACAGTGATGGGCAGGTGCGTCAGACAGAGCTGTCAAAGGCAGAGATTTGGCAGCAGCAGGGAAAAATCAGCTGTTTGGGGCCAGACATGAAGAGCTGTAGGCTTCTTGGACCTGCCCAGGGGCTTTCTTTGCTCTGTTTGTCCCGAGTCATCCCTTCATCTCTTTCCAAAGCTACGCAGCCCCTTCTCCTTTGCTTTCCCATGAGGTGACGATGTGGCTCCCAGCAAAGGAGTAACATGGTTTAGTGATCCCTGAATTGTAGCCCTGCGCCATGCTTTTTGTGGAAGTGTTTTGTAGCAAAAGTAAACTCTGGGGAGTATTTATACCTCATGCGTTCCTGCCACGCAGGCAAGGGTGGAAAATAAACCAACACCACCTTGCTAAGGAAGGCATGCATGGTCCTTTCTGCTTCCTTTTTCCTGACCCCACAGCCATGTAACAGCACTGAATGCCTCCAGGAGGTGTTAACCAGAGCATCATCCCTTGCATCATGTCAGAGGGGCACCGAAAGGTGCTGCTCTGGGGGCTCCCTCCACAGAGCGAGGTCCCTTCTGTGCTGTCTCTGGCAGGGAGAGATGCTCCCGCTGCTGCCCTGGGTTGGTGCCGGAGGTGTGTAATGCTCCCAACGGGCATCTCTCACCTGAAAATGGGAACAGCTTTTGTGGAGATGATTGATCAGCTGGAGATTTCACTGTCGTTTTTCAGCCTGTCCCTCCCTGCTGGCAGTGCTGACGGAGGGATCGTGTTTGTGTGTTGCAGGATGCACAGCTCTTCACTGACCTGCTGGGGGACCACGGGAAGCCGGTGTGGCCGCTGTGGGAGCTGATGAAGTGGCTGGTGGGAATGTCTTCCCACACTCTCCCAGCCATCGGTAAGACCAGGAGGAGCCCCTGGGGTGTGCGGGGGCGGTGGTGGGGTGGGCAAGTTGTGGAATGAAAGTAGTGGCCGTCCAGCAGCCTGCGACGGGACGCTGGGGTTTGCACTGGGTGGCTTTGGACTGGATTTTTGCAATGACACTTGGTGTCTTCAAGTGTAACGCGCGCTTGAGGTGAGGGTTGGCTGGGTCTTGGGTAACTGGGATGGGATGTCCCAGGAGAAGGAGTGGTGAGGACAGCAGAGCTGTGAGCCTGCCAGAACTGCCAGAGCTGGAGGGAGCCGTCGGGGGTCTGCACCCATCTCGTGTCTTAGCAGCAGACACCAGAGAACCCCAATTAGTGCTGTTGTCTAATGAGTGCTGAGGTTGCTCCACCAGCGCTGCTCAATCCCAGTGGCTGGAAAAACTTGGGGAAGCAATGGGCAGGCTGAAAGCCTTTCCTTTGGCAAAGCTGGGGAGCCGTGCCCTGTCCAGGGGACAATCCGCTCTGGGAGCTCGTGGGGAAAGGACCTGGGGGGCCCACTGTGAGCTGGGGGATGCTGCGTGTGGCCAGGAAATGTGCTGCTGAGGCTGCTTAACCCACAGTCCTCTCTCTCTTCCTGTTTGTGCCCTTGCCCTGCAGCCCTGGGGTTGACGGAGAAGCTGATGAAACTCAACCCTGGTGGGAATGCCAAGCTAGTGAGCATGGGGAAGAGCCTGAAGGAGGAGATGGAGGCCTTGCTGGGGCCAGACGGGGTTCTCCTGTACCCTTCCCACCCCACCATCGCCCCCAGGCACCACTCCCCCATATGCATGCCCTTCAACTTTGCCTACACAGGTGAGCAGCTCCAGTTCCGCTGCTGGGGTGCAGGGAGGGCTCACAGCCACCTCCTGCCCGCTGCAGCACTGGGTGGGGAGCCAGGGGGGTTTACCCAGAGTGTTTCCATCGCTGACATTGGGCTTTGCAGCGCAGAGGGGTGTCTCACTGCTGCAGAACATGGGGAAAGGATTATGGTCCTGCTTTAAAACCGTTGTATTTGAGCCTGCTGTCGGCAGTGGGGCAGGTTTCATCCTGGGGTGTCACCCTGCCCCAGCGTGATGCGCTCAGGCTGTCGCAGCTGGTGCCATAGTTTGGCAGGAACCTGAGAGCCCTTGTGTCCCTGTGGTACAGTTTGGGGCTCTCTGTGGCTTTCCTGTGGCTTGAGCCCCATGATGCCAGCGCCGGGTTGCGATGCTTTGTGGCTTCAGCATAATGGAGGGATGGTGCCTGGGGCAGGCATGTCCCAGAGCAGATCTTGGCGTGATGCATCATCGTGTCATCACTCCTGGGTGCAACTTGTGTATGTGATACGGGTGCTGGGAACCTCTGGCCAGCCATGTCCCCTTGTCATCGTGTCTCTGCACCACTTTGGTAGGGACCAGCTGTGGGAGCTCAGCACTGTCCATGGCAGCAGCTGCTGGGCTGGGAGAGCCAGGCAGTGATTTATCCCAGGGGCTGCGCTTGCTCTGATGCAACCTTCTCTCTTCCAGCCATCTTCAACGTTCTGGGCTTCCCGGTGACGCAGTGCCCACTGGGCCTGAGCAGCGAGGGGTTGCCACTGGGCATTCAGCTGGTGGCAGCCTCCTACAACGACCACCTGACACTGGCTGTTGCTCGGTACCTGGAGAAGGCCTTCGGAGGATGGGTTGTGCCAGGGAAAGTTTAGCCTCCTGGTGCTGCATGGTGGCAGGGATGGAGGCGGTGGTGCCCAGCGAGGCGGCAGCCAGCGCTGCTGGCTGATCCTGTCATGGCCTTACCTGCTCTTTCCACAACCCCTTGTGCCCTTCTCGGAGTGACCAGTGGTGCCTCTGGTCCCAGGGATGCTGGGCTGCTGCTGCCAGAGTTGCCACCTCCCTGTGGCACCCTCTTCCAGGAGAGAGACCTACCTTCCCTCCTCAGTGCTGGGGGCAGCATCCTGCCTGTGGTGGTGCCTCTCTTCTCCTGGGCATGGAGCCAGCCGTCTCTGCAGTGCTTGCTGCTTTGACAACGCTGAGTGAAGGCTGGGGAGCGGAGGTGCTGCTGGACTGCTCAGGGACACCCAGCACCACGCTCTGGCCTCGCTGCGTGCATCTGTCCTTGGCCTTATCCTGCCTGCAGGGCTAGGGCTGCCCCCGATGCACCACAGGCTCCCCAGCCTCTGCAGCCCCCCTTGGCTGCCGCAGGGTTCCCCCCACCTCTGTCCAAACAGGGAGAGGGTCTGGGGGCGCCGGGGCAGCTGCACGCTCATCTCGCCAGCAGGGCTTGGTGGGGTGGATGGTGCTGGCTCTGCCCGGTGCATTGCTGGCGGGCAAAGGGAGAAGGAGCTTTTGCTCTTGTGAGCTTTTGACGGCACTGGGAGAGCTTTTTGAATGCTCCTCTCCATGTGTTGAGATGGCGAAAGCATCTCCTGCCTGTGTTGTCTGTCCCAGGGGATCACCCAGACTGATTGGCGTCCCTGTCCCTGCCACCACATTCCTGAGGTGCCCAGTGCCCACAGAAGGTAGGCAGCTGCCTGTGCCTGGGGCCGGCAGCAGGCGGGAGATGTTCTCAGCAAGGGTGGTATTAAAGAGTCTGTCCACTTTGCTGCCGCCTGTGCCTCCTCTTTCCTCGTGGCTGTTTTCTTGCCCGTCCCCCCAGGCACCAGCCCCCTCTGCCCTCGCACCATGGGATGTGCCGGGGCTGCTAAAGGCTGTGTGTGCGGTGCAGGGACAGCAGCCAAGGTGGCACTCGGCTGCTGCTGGGCTCTTGCTTTAAAATGCCTGGACTCGCGGTGTCTGCTCGGCACCTGGCAGAGCTGGAGGGTCCTCGTGAGCTCTGGGGGTGCTGTGGGCGACAGCTCTGTTTGTCCTACACAGTGTTACGCTCTCAGAAAACATAAGCCGTGCTGCTTTCTCCCCCTGAGGGGCTGCCAAAGGCTCGGGGCTTGGGGGATGATACTGAGCCCTGTGTGGGTTCCCTGGGGTCTCCAGGGCAGAGTAGGGTCCCAGCTTGGCAGCACTGGTGTTGGCAAGGAGAAAGCCTCCTCCCGGCATTGGCTTTGTGGGGATGTCCTGGCTTGTGTCCCAGCCCCATCCCTGTGCCACTGTCTTCTGTCCCTGAGCCCCTGGTGGTCCCTGCGTGGGGGGACACGGAGGCTGGGTGCCTCCGGGGTGCTGGGCACGGGCTGCCTCTTGCCACTCGCTCGCAGAGGGCACTGCTGAGCCGCCAAGGGCTCCCCGCCTGCAGCCAGAGGAGACGCTCTCGATGAGGAAGGAAGGAAGAAAAAAAAACAAAACTTGACTGAAGAAAACATGCATAAACCAGAAAGGCAAGTCACGTGTAGAGGGAGGGCTCCCACAGCCTCCCGGTGCGGTGGCACAGAGGACGCGGCTGTCTCCCGGCCAGAGGGACCCCGGGGGCTGGGCAGACCCTGGCCGTGCTTCCAGCGAGCGTTGGGAGCCCAGCACGGGGTTGCTGAGGGGTTGTGTTCGGCGGAGCGTGGTGGGCACAATGGCACCACCACATTTGCGGCCGGGACCAGATGAGTGACTGCCCAGCCTGAGGTAGGGGGGACACTGGCGCCTCTGGGCCCATGGGGGGTGCAGGTGGAGGAGGGGGGGGTTCCATCCTTGCAGTCTTAGCCAATGGCATAACCACAAAACCATATTTTTACAAAAACCGCAATGTGGGGAGGGGGTGCTGGGGTCAGCAGGGGCTGGCAGTGACCATCCTGTGGCCTCCCCCCAGCAGCCCACTCCCTGTCCCCATCCCTGCACAGCCAGGTCCCAGGGTCTTCCTGGCCTTCTGCTCCGTGTCCTGGGAATGGTGCCGGGGGGCCCTTCTCCCTCCAGGAGAAATGCTGCCACCTTCCCAGGGGGCCTGCGGCAAAGCTGGAGGGTTTGTGCTGGCCTCGGGGCAAGGAAAAGCCATGACCCCACCGCCCGTGACCCAGCTCTGGTGTTTCAGAGGTCTCACCTTGGGGCTCGGAGCCCTTGTCCACGGCTTGCAGCTGCCCATCCCTGTTTGCCGACTGCTCCTCCTTGTTTCCAGCTCTGAGCTCTTGGGAGGGACAGCACACACCGGGAGACCTGTTCAAACACGCTGCTACTGAGACCGTCACACTCATACGGTTAACGCAGCCAGTATCAAATGGGAAGAGCAGGAGGCAGCAGGAGTAGGTCAACCCTATGGATGTCCAGCCCGTCCAGGGAGATGCTCCCACCCATTGGCGTCTGGAGGTGGCCCTAGGCTCCCCGCTTTCACCAGGGTACATGTGCCCATGACTGGGAGGGTGGAGTTGATGGCTTCAAAGCCCTTGCATGTCTCTTCCCAGAGAGCAAGGTTACCTCCATAGCTGGGAAAAAATCTCCCTGGTATCTGGGTGGTGGGATGAGGCCAAGGCACAGAGCTGCCGGCCAGGTTTTGGAGAGAGGGAGGAGGGAGCAGGGCTGTGGGTGCCCCAGTGTCCCCCTGGGGCCGGTGGGGCTCTGGCACTGGTGCCCAGCGGGACCAGCCTCAGCTGTGGCTCGGAGATGGAGGTGTCTATGTGGGGCACAGCACCTTGTGGGCACCCTGTGGGGTGCTGGTGGGTGCCGGTGTGTGTGACACCCTCCCATCCCTGCTGCGGGAGGGCTGGGGGCGTCACAGCAGTGGCATCACTGGTTGTGCCAGTGTGAGTCATGTCCGGAGCGGGGCTGAGTCACCGCCAGGGCGGTGGGAGTATCAGGCCGAGAGCTTTCTCAGACCCACCATGAGATCAGCAGCCTGATGTCTCCCTGCCTTTAGGGAGGGACCAGACGCCCCGGGGGACCAGCAGGAGGTCCCTGTGGCACGTGCAGGGTGCCGTGGCAGAGTGTGGCCATCTCCACAGGCCCCTTGCCACCGCAGCCCCACGGGCACCTGCCCCGCTGCTGCTTCACCCCATCCCAGGGGGCAGCAGAGGGTTCACTGCCACTCTGTGGCAGGCACCCCAGTGCCACAGTGGGGCACGCAGCCTCCCGGTGCCAGGCGTGCCTGCAGCGGGTGGCACTGGCCACAGCTTCAGGAACAAAAATATTCTCTCTACAGGTTCTACCTGTCTGTTGTGTTTGCGGTGGCAGCTCTGTCACACCCGTCCCCTCGCCCTGGCACCCAGCCTGACAGCGTAGAGCCGGGGGCAGATGGACGGGCCGCAGCGGGATGAGCCCTGCCCTGAGCCTGCTACTGTCCCTGGCCACCTGCACCCTGCTCCAGGGTAAGTCCCACTGGGGGTGGCCCTGGCTGTGGCGGGGGGAGAAGCGTGGGGATGACTCCCAGACCCAGGGAAGGTATTTGCTGGGAGGAGGGGACCAAGAGATCTTCAAGGTATGATGGGAAGGAAAACCCCAGGGTCAGCAGGAGCCACATCAGGGTGTCTGTGCCTTCCTTGGGGACCGAGTTGGGAATCTCCAGGGCATGCCAGAGATGTGGATGCACTGGCAGCCAGTGCTTGCCTGAGCCTGGCAGGGACTTGGGGTCCTGTGCAGGACTGAAGCTGGGGGTTTTAGGGTGGGGGAGCCCCCACAATGCTGATGCCAAGTGGGGAGACCCCCGCAGCATGTCCAAGCAGTGACCAGCCAAGGAGCAGGCCCCTTGGAGCAGAGCTGCCTGACCCCCCTCTTCTTCCCCCCTCCCCAGGCACCCCACTGCCCCCCCGGGACGTGAGGCTGGAGGCACAGAACTTCCACGTCTGCCTGAGTTGGGAGCCGGACCCTGGCTCGCCCAGTGGCACCACGTACCAGGTGGAGTGGAGGGGACGGTAGGTGGGACAGCAGGGACAGAGGTGGCTGGTGTCCCCCACACCTTGGCAGAGGGCTGTCAGGTACCCCGTCAGCCAGAGGATTGTTATCTGACAGCAAATCTCAGAGCAACAGAACACTGGATCTGGCAGGGAACCCCCAAGACCAGCTCATCCAATCCCTGCTCAGGACTCTGTCCTGTTGGTTTTTGACCCAAGGCTCAAGGATGGAGCCTCCGCAGCCTGCCTGGGCAGCCTGTTCCCTCTCCAGGGCACCCTCTCAGTAAAAGACAAAAGGGAGTGCTTTGGGGTTTGGTTTTTTTCCCCCTTATGCTTAAAGGGAATTTCCTGTATTTCAGCCTGTGCCCGCTGCCTCTTGTCCTGAGAAGAGGTCTACATCTTCTGTACTCCATCACATTGATAGGACTCCCCACCCTATGCCATCTTCTTTTGAGGCTAATCAGTCCCTGCTCACTCAGCCTCCGTCACACTACAGATGGCCCAGCCCCTTGGTCACCTTTTTGGCCCTTCAGTGGGCTCTCTCTGGCCTGGACGTGTTTTCTCTGGTAGAGGAGAGCACAGGCCGGGATGCAGCACTCCAGGTGCCGTCCCACCAGCATTGGTGAGAGAGGACTTGCTGGCAACACTCTTCCTACTGCAGCCCGGCATGCTGTTGGCCAGTATCTGTGCTTTCCCACCCTTTCCTCTTGGACAGCATGGCAATTTGTGTTTTTGGCTGGGAAGTTGCCAAAAAGGAGAAATCCTTGCATTTTCTTCATGTGCAGAAACTCTCCCTGGACCAAGGCAGGTGCCTGCTGGGGTAACAGCACCGGCTCCTCCTGGGCGTGCGAGCTGTATTTTGACGATATCTACGATATCTACTGGGCAAGGGTGAGAGCGGAGGCCGGAGGCGAGCTGTCCGAGTGGGTCAGTTCCAGCGAGCTGCAGCCGTACAGAGACAGTAAGGACCAGGGAGTGCCTTCAGTCGGGCTCCCGCTCTTCCGGGGGCAGGGGGCAGTGGGGAGAAGGTCTGGAGAGATACGGTGGGAAATGATGTGAAGATACTGGTGGGAAAAGTGCCCCGAGCACCAACTGGAGGAAAGGGATGGGAGCAGAACTGCTGGGTGAAGAGCAAGGAGACACAGTGAAGCGAGGACCATGGATGGTGGCAAAGCTGGCACAGGCAGGAGCAGTTCCCCCAGCACTGCCTTTGCCCTGGCTGCCATGTTTGCAAGGTGTGAGAACCTGCCTCTTCTCAGCAGCTGTCCTGTCCAAAAAGCCTGGCTGTCTTTTGGAGGCAGGGGAAAACTTCAGGACTTTCCCATAGCCCACCTCACAGGGGATTGTCACAATGAACTGAATGTGTGGGCGACTAAAATGGGGTGTACCTTGGCCATTTGGGCCCTCTTTTCCATTCCCTCTGTATCCAACCGGCATAGAAATAGGTGCATTTAGCTAGAAGAGCAATTGCTGCCCTCTGTTTATTTCTAGAGCTGGTTTCACAGCACAAGGTGCTGCCAGGATAGATCTGAGCAAGTTTCTATGCGCTGGGAGTGGGATGTCCAACAGTAAAACATCATTTCTAGAGAAAGGAGACGTCTACCTTTTGTTTTGAAGACATTAATTTTCCTCATCCATTTTCTTTTTCCCCTCCCTACAGCAATGGTGGGCCCCCCCACGTTATCCTGGCTGCTCCAGGGTGACACCCTCAGTGTAAATGTCACCCTGCCCCTCACGCCCTACCGTAGCAAAGCTGGCTCCTACGAGCCAGTGGAGGAGGTGCTGTGGAAGCTGTGGTACTGGCTGAGCCTGTACGAAGGGGACGTGCTCATCCAGAAGGTATGTGTCGGGGTGGTCCAGGCTCGGGGTGCGCGGGGCTGCGGAGGCTCTCCCGGTGCAGCGGCGATGCCTGTGTCCTGTGGCAGTGGTGGGGTGGTGGTCCCTGTATCCACGGAGGTGCCCCAGCCCTGCCCGCACCCTACAAACAGGCGTGAGATGCTCTGCACTCTGAGTTTGGGGTTACAGCCTGGGGGTGGCAGGAGGTCCCTTTCTTCTTCTAGACTGCATGAACAAGAAAACTCATAAGGATTTCTGTTCAGATGAAGGCCTGCAGGAGGTGTTTAATGAGGTGCTCTGGGACCCGAATGCCTCCTGGGGTGAAGAAGCAACAGCTGGAGATGCTGGGGAGCAGGGAGGGGGGTCTGAGCTCCTCGCCGTGGGGCACATGGGCTGTCGAGGCTGTAGTTGGGGAGTGGAGCGGTGCCCAGACCCCACCTCCAGCCACCATGGCCACACATCCCCTCTGCTTCCAGGTGCCCTGCAGACGTGGTGGGGAGGATGCCCCCTGCCTATTCCAGTACCTGAAGCCCCGCACACGGTACTGTGTCCGGACAAGGGCCGCCAACATGGCCGGGGAGCGGAGTCGGGAGGCCAAGCAGTGCCTGGTGACACCGTCCAGCCCCACAGGTGGGAGATCTCTACCAAATCAGCCGCTGCCACTGCATCTCAAGTCCTGCTTGCGGCACGGACATGAGTGGAGGTGTGGGTCACTCCCTCCCAGCCATTCTGGTCAGGGTTGGTGGCCCAGTAACGCCCTGTGGAGACCTTTCTTGGGGAGGTGCTCCTCGCCATCCTCCTTGGGCTTGCCCCACACCTCCTCCTGGAATGTCCCTGCCTGCCAAGGGGGCTCTGGGGCAGTGCTGGCAGAGGGTGGGCTGTGGGGGGATGCCAGCTGGGGTCCTTCCACCCCTCAGCCTGTTGTCACCTCCTGGCAGGCTTTCCCTGGCTGCTCCTTGCCGTGTTGAGTGGTGTCTTCCTGCTGCTGCTGCTGAGTGTGGCTGGGCTCCGCTGCCTCCAGCTGCACGTCTTCCCCAGCCCCTCAGAGACGGACCTCCCGAAAACGCTTGTGAGTGAACGATGCTCCTCCAGCCTCCTCCCTGCCGCGACCGAGCCAGGGTCCCCTGCACTTGCAGGGGCTCCCTCCACCTCTTGTGCCACCAAACCCCTCTCGGTGCCCAGGAGCCTCCCCCACTGTCTGACCCACCGTACCCCCAGGCCTTACTGTGTGGGAGAAGATACTGGTGGGATGCATCAGTCAGCCATGGGTAACTGGAGAAAGGTGTCTTGGGCAGCATGTAGCTCATGCTGCACAGCCCTCAGTGGTAGAGCCCTCCGAGAGGCTCCTGGGGCTGCAGCCCTGCTGAGCTGCTCCAGACGTGTCCTGGGTCAGCAGGATGGGGCCCTGGGGACACAGTCAGCCTTTCTCCCTGAGCCCCTGTTCCCCCTTGCATCCCAGCTTCCCAGTGCTGGGGGTGCCCGCAGCCGGGGCTGAGCAGCCCTTGGAGCATGCTGGGGACAAAAGTAACTTGCTAAGCTCAAGGAGTCACCTGTGCCAGCGTGGAGAGGAGGTGTCGGGCTGCTCCGCTCGCCCTGCTCTGCTTGGTGCCAGCACCCTTTGCTTCCCAATTCCTCTTGGCCTCTGCACAGGGAGCGCTCCCATCCCTAAGCAGGGGAGAGCTCTTCCATCACGCTCTGACAGCTGGGGCAGAGTGTGAAAGGCAGCAATGGCTTCTGAGACTGTCCCCTGGCTCAGAGCCCCATGCTGTGTGAGCAGAGCCCTGCCTGCGTTTGTCCCAGCTACGAGCATGGCAGACGGGCTGCCCAGGACTGTCCCTCTCCCTGGAGTGCGTGGCTCCTCACCCCCAGGCGGGAAGAGGGTCCATCAAGCTGGGGCCAACACTATGCTGCTTGTTTCCCGGCAGGCTCTCCTGAACGGGCAGCTGAGTGTGGCCATCAGGGTGCCCACCCTTGAGTTGGAGGAGGACTCCTTTGCCCTGCTGCTGCCAGCCATGCTCCCCTCCCGCGGGCCACCCCCGGCTGAGCTGACAGCACCCACTGTCCGTCTGCTCCTCGGAGAAAGCCTTTCCCAGGACATCAATGGCTACTGCGCCAACGGGTTTGGGCCAGGCTGCCACCAGGGCAGGGACCCGTCCTGCACCCGCAGCCAGCTGGGACACGCTGTGGGCTCCTGGGTCCCATCGTGGCCGGGGGAGGATGGGGAGACGTGTGACAAGGATGATGTACTGGAGCCACTGGTGCCCCTGGTACTGACCGGAGACAGCTACACAGGTGACAGGGACTACCAGACACCCGAGACGTGGCTCTCCCTGCACCCCCAACTTTACTCTAAATGCCAGTGCCCAGCCCTGGGAGCAGGCAGCTGCCTGCCTCTGCCCACACCGGGCAGGAGCTTCAGCCAGGAGGACCCACAGGAGAGCCTCAGCGTGGCAGGGCACTGGGTACCGCTCAAGTCGGTGAAGCTGCTGGGCAGCAAGGAGGAGGATGGAGGGCAGCTCCTGTGCGCTCTCCAGCCCCTGCATGGCTGTGGGACTGAGCCGCAGCCAGGGGACAGCACACTGCAGCAGGACAGCTTGGAGCAGGCAGCGCCAGGCATCCCCCCTCCCTGTCCACTGTCCCCATTGCCCCCCGACACCCTGCGGGCCACCTTCTCCGGCTACGAGCTGCATCCCCCGGTGCAGGGTGAGCCATAGCAGGCGGGGTGGGGGGACAACACCTGAGTAACAGCATCAAGCAATAGCCCAAGGCACTGCCCGGAGCTGCCCCAGCCACAACGGCTGCTGCTGGGACCTGCCTGTGCCTCACTGGGGACAGGACGGGGACAGGACTGGGACAGGCAGGGGCACGCTCTGGGCATGGCTGCCACGGATGAGTGACATCCATTGAGACCTTCCCTTCCCTCTGTGGTTTTGGTGCTCTTGAACCAAAGCATAAGGAATCTGTACTGAAGTTGAAGCCCCAAAACTTTCCTCTATTTATCCATCTAGATGTGTGTGTGCAGTTCATATATTAATGCAAATCTAAGTATATACTCGTATATACATATAAACCTCTAATGAAAGAGGCGATTTTATATTTTTTACTTGTCTGGAAATACTGATCGTGCACAGGAGCTGTTTTTATGTAACACTAATTTATTATGGAAAACTGGCTTCTGTGCTTATTCTTTCTGTGTTACAGAACCAGTGCTGCCCTGCCTGAGTAGCAGCTGGGAAAGGCACTGGGAAAACCTGGGATTTCCCTGGGAGAAAATTGTACCTGCAGCTGGTCTGTGTGGGGAAAAGGCTGGTTCTTCAGCAGCCACTGGATAATTTTATTATTCCTTCCACCGGCCCTGGGGCAATTTACCTCCAAGGAGCCCTGCCCTGCAGTTGGCTCTCCAGGACACCTGTGAGGCTGTGCCTGCAGCCACGGAGGCGAGGGGAACCTCTCCCTGGCATCGGGCAGCATTGTGCTTTGCAGCAGCTGGGATCGGTGGATTCCAGGTCTGGGGGACAAAGCCAGGTTCTGGGATGCGCAAGATTTAAGCTGGGTTTGGGAAGAGGAGAGAAATCCATATCCAGCGTGCAGGCATCTGGTGGAGGAGACGGCGCTGCCAGCCCCGGTAAGTCTTTTGGGTGAAGCAGGGCTGCGCAGGGCCAGGCTCCAACCCCATGAGTCGTCCCTGAAATCCTCATACCAGACATCCTCGTCCCCACCACTGTGGCTGACTTGGCCCGAGACCTGTGGCAGCACCACCAGCAGCTTCAGACCCCGAGCAGTGAGGTCCCCACACCGGGCAGCGACGTGCCGGGACGGGCTGGCCTCTGCACCAAAGCAGGTGGCCGTGCTTCATGCCTCTCATTAGCAAAACCTTGTAGGGCAGATGTGAGGATACGGGGCCTATCAAATAGATGTAGCTGAATTTTTTTAAAAAAGGAGAGAGGCGGTCCCGAGAGCTGCTTGAAGGAACACATGTGTTGCCGCGTCCTGTTGCTGCCAACAAAGGTCCTCTTAGGCTCAGTCTCAGCCTGAATCTGAAACATGAGTCTGATCTTCCTTAACTTGTTTCACTTTCTCTTTCTGGTAAGATGAAATTTCGGGGCACATGTATCCGCTGTTTCTTTGGCTCTTACGAAATGGCCTCTTTAATATTCAGGTGTTCGGAAAGCAAACCAAAAGCCAAGCCGAAATAATTGCCCCGCAGTAAAGCTAGGTAGACTTCAGAGGAACTGGTGCTTTGAGGCAAGTGGAGGAGCTGACACATTGCAGTCTTTGAATCCTCAGGCAAAACATTCCATGCTGACCTTACCTCCTGCCATCTTAATTTTTTTAATTTTTTTTTTTTTAACTTGAAGCTTTTTGAGGCATTTGATCTACAGCTGTGACTGCTCTGCAGAACTCAGGGAGCCAAAACCATGTCTCTGCTTTTCCTCCTCTGAGGCCACACCATCCTTCCAGTGGGTGAAGAGGAACCTCACAGTGATTGATCTCCTTGACAAGTGCCTGAGATGCATGTCCTGCTCCTGTTTCAAGACCTCTGGGAGTGCGGACCCTGCTCTTTCCCTGCAAATGGTCTTCCAGGCCAAGCAGAGAGCATGCATCCTGCCAGTCCAGCCCCTGCTGCTGTTTGCCGAGAGCCACTGCCCTGGCATGGTGGGACCAAGCTGGCTCCCACCTTCTTGGGCACTGGGCTCGTGCCGGGGCTCAGCCGGTGTTTTTCTAACAGCCTGCCAGGTCTCCTTAAAGATCAAAAGACAGACAGCCCTTTTCAGAGTTTTGGCAGGGCGGCCGTGCTGGGATCCCCGCAGGTGATTCAGGCAAGTTACTCACTGGCAGCGGGGACTCGCCCCAGCCCAGGGGGCGGTTGAAGCAGCTGAGATGTCCCCATTCTGTATGAAACAGAGACATTCATGCAGAGTGGAAAAAGGCAAAAAGGCTGGTGACATTTTGAGATGGCATTTTGGTAGCTGAAGTTTCCGAGTGGATGTGAGAGGGTTTTTTTGCTTTGCCTGGGAGGTGTGAGCGGTGCGCGGGGCTTTGCAGGGCCATAGCAAGGTGTGCTGCTCACTGTGGGGGAGAGGTCCCAAGGGAGACCCACCACCACCCTGCACAGCAGTGGGTCTGGGTCCAGTGTGTCTGCATCACACCCTGCTCTGGGCTGCCTGTCCAGGCCATACATGTTGAGCAGGATCATAGAATTACAGAATTGTCTGGGTTGGGAGGGACCTTTCAGATCATCAAGTCCAACCATCAACCCAGCACTGCCAAGGCCACCACTAACCCATGTCCCTCAGCACCACATCTGCCTGGCTTCTAAACCCCTCCAGGGATTGGGACTCCACTGCTGCCCTGGACAGCCTCTTCCAGTGTTTGATAACCCTTTTGGTGACCTGCTGGGCCACACTATTCCTGATACAGGCCAGGCTGTTGTTGGCCTTCTTGGCCACCTGAGCACACTACTGTCTCGTGTTCAGCCAACACCCCCACATCCTTTTCTACCGGGCAGCTCCAGTCACTCTTCCCCAGCCTGGAGCATCCATGGGGTTGGTGTGACCCAAGGGCAGGACCTGGCACTTGGCCTTGTTGAACCTCACACCATTGACCTCATCCCATCAATCCAGCCTGTCCAGATCCTCCTGTAGAGCCTTCCCACCCTCCAGCAGATCAACACTCCTGCCCAACTTGGATGGGGCTGTGCTGGAGGATGGAGCGGTGTGGGAGGCTGTTCCTCAGACCCACGGCCCCAGTGTGGTGCCTGAAGGTACTTCGCATGGAGGTTTGTGAAAGCTCTGACTCACCCTGATCAATAGGCTTGTTCCTGGCTGCTCTCCCTGCTGTTGGCGGTGTTTTCAGCTTCTGCCAGTTACCAGATCAAAGCCATGAGAGGAATGCAGCTGAAAACAGCTCTTTATTAGAAACAGCAGTTTTAGGACTATGTAAGAGGGTGTTTTTTATTACTAATTCTCAGAGAGTTGAGCTGCTAGCTTGTAGAAGTATTGGAGAGTGGAAAATTGCGATGCGGGGGCTAATGGGACTTTTGCGGCCCAAAGCTGCAAACAGGAAACATAGCACCTAACAAACAGGAGGGAGACAGCGGCTCCTGAAATGACAGGGGAGAATTAAGCCCTAATATTTTGCAGGCTGCCAGGGGAAAGGAAGACACCTATTTCCCTTTGAAAGCCATGGGAGGCAGAGACACGGAGAGCAGCATCTTGGGCTGCAGCTCTTCCCCTGGATCCGTCCTGGCCCTGCTCTGCCCACTCTCCATCCTGCCTGTCACTGCAGCCACCCTGCTAGCACTCCGGGACAGCCCAGAGACACCCCACGGCCTCGCACTGTCCGGCATGTGTCCATGTACCTACAATGGACCTGGGACCACGATCCAGCCACCCCTGTGCCAGGTGTCCCTGCCATGGATCTGTAGCTCTGGGCGGGTCCCGGAGTGGGACAGAGCAGCAGTGTCAGAGCTGTCCTGCCAGATTCCAGAATTATAGAATTGTCTGGGTTGGAAGGGACCCTTAAGATCATTGAGTCCAACCATCAACCCAGCACTGACAAAGCCCATACTAACCCATGTCCCTCAGCACCACGTCTGCCCAGCTTTTAGATACCTTCAGGGATGGTGACTTCACCACTTCCCTGGGCAGCTTCTTCCAAGGCTCAACAACCCTTTCGGTGAAGAATTTTTTCCTAATATCCATCCTAAAGCTCGCCTGGCCCAGGAGCGGACTCAGGGGGTCTGTGAGATATGGTCCCATCCTCCTGACTCACGTGTCAGGGGATTTCTGGCCTATGGACAAGGAATGGACTGGGTGGCTCAGCTCGCTGCCTTCCTGCACCCCTTGCACCGATCTATAGCTCTCTGCACACAAAGACCGCTCGTGCTCCCAGTGGTACATGGCACAGGCAGAGCTGCTGCCCCTGGGGCTGGGTGCACGTGGGACACACACGTGAGTTTGGAGAGGGTTCCCATGCTTTCTCCCAAACCCTCTCGGGGCTGTGCCTCCTGCCCATGTCCTGACAGCAGAAGTGATGAGCCTGCCTCCAGAATTTTTCATTATATGGCATGAAACCTGGCATCCAGGGGATGGGAGAAGCTGGAAAATAGACTAGATATGGATTTTTGTTAGGAGAAAGGTCCCAACTGAGCACTGTGCCTGGTCAGGATGGATGGACATTTTGCCTCATCTGTCTCCCAGTCTGATTTGTGCCTGACAGAAAGGGATTTGCAGACAGAAGTAATGATCTCTTGTTAATGCACCTTCAAACACTTTATGAAAAATGAGAGCCTGTACCTGGGCATGCAGACACTGTTTTCTCCCTGTTTTGTGGTCAGCAGGGTCATGGTCAGCCTCTTGGTTAAAAAACAGATGCTCGGGCTCCCAGGCATCCTGTCCTGTCTTCCTCAGGAAAGGGTCTGTGATGTCCCACCCCACAAGAAGACATGAAAGGAGCAGAAGACGTGTGGTAACTCTTGGGGGGGAAGATCATGCAAAAAGAAAGCATGGATCCAGATTTTGTCCAAATGCTGGCCCCATGTTCTCTTCTGATCCTCCTCCAGACCTCACCAGAGACATGGTTAACCTGCCCAGCCTTCTCCCAGCACAGCATAGCTATGGAAAACAGCAGAGCTTCTGAAAACCTGGCCAAGCATTTGTCAAACATCCTCACTCAAGAATGACAGACATCGAACTGGGGGGAGAGCAGGGCCAGTCATCTCCTGTCATCAGGATGAATGGTCAACACCGCAGGAAAGACAACTCACCTGATGAGACCATATTGATCGCAGAGAGCTGGAGGACATAAAAGAGAACTGCCTCACACTCCCTCACTCACAGGCTCTTAGGAAATCGGCCAAGGCTTGGAGAAGGAGAGAAAATGCCTTCCCAGAGGGTGGTCGTCACCCTGGCACTGCTGTTGGGGTCTTGCTGCATCAGCGCTTATCCTGTCCACCTGGAAAGCGACAGTGCCCATGGTAAGGACAACTGACTGGGGTGTTTGTGCCCGAGAACCAGGTGGGGTTTGTCCTTTTGCACTACTTTCTGGCTGGCACTGGATGCTGGCTCCAACCTGGTGTTTCCTGGGGGCTTGCCTGCTGCAGACATGCAGAGCAGCGCAGCGTCCCCCAGCTTCTCTTTGGGCAGAAAGACCTCCTGGCCTGGGGAGGGTTTTTCGCATATTGTTAGGAGTGGTATGTGTCCAGCAGGGCTAAACCCACTACTAGTGTGACCAGGTCAGACAGGAGAAGACCATCCTGTACGCGAGGGACCTCTGTGGCTGCTGTGATCTGCAGACAACAGAGTCTGGGGGATGTGTCCAGGCGCTCTGGGATGACAGACAACCTTGTCCTGGGAATCAGCCAGCCTGGGGAGGACAAACAGTGTCCCTCTAGGCTCGATATTCTTCTGATGCATGATGTGGCAATGAGGGAGTTGCAGCTCAGGTGCGGAGCGAATGGTGTGTGCTGGATGTCCTGGGATGGGGTGGGATGGGGTGGGCTCTGCTCATGATCAGGGGGTGCGTATGAGCCTCCCCAACAGCCACAGAACTTGGAGCCGCAACCCTGGCTGACTGCTGGCACCAATTATCAGGGTAAGTACCAGCTTAGACAGTCTGGGCTTCCTAATGCTCGAGAAAAGTCACTTGGGGAGAGCTTGAGCCTGATGGAGAGCATGACCCCATCCTCATGACCCTGCTGGGAAAGGAGCAGCCACGATGGCGCTCTTGTCGCTGGCTGACTCACGGGGACTTCCAGAGCTCCAGCAGCTTGGCTGCATCTCCAAGACAAAGGAAATACGAGGCCAAGTGTTTGGGATTTCTCAACTCCTGGTGGTTGGTGGGAGCTTCCTGGGGGCAGGCGCTGGAGAAGGGGTGGGTTGAAGGGTGAGGTGCTGGAAAGCCCCCAACACACCAGCTGGTTTCCAGTTAAAGGCAGCCAGACAGAAAGGGAGTTGTTTCCTTAGTTGCAGCCATGTGTCTGAGGCTTGTTTTTGTGGTGAGCTTAGACCACCCCTATCCCCAGAGAAAGGCAGACAGGCCCTGGGACGGACTCATCCCAATTTCTACTTGTGCTCACCTGAGACGTTACTGGGATAAGGGGGGTCTGGACTTCACGCTTTGCAGCTCCCACTGGTGCCACAGGCTGGCTGAGCGAGGCCAGGAAGGGGTTCTGCGGAGCTGCTCTCAGAAGGGTCTTTTGTGGCAGGGGACACCTCGGTGGCAAATGGGGACCTTCTCCTCCTGCCTGTTGCAGTCACGCTGAAGGCAACTCCAGGCAGCAGAGGTTGTTTGCCTTGGCTTTTGGCACTGTCTCCCACAGCACACTAACAGAGGAGCTGGCAAAGTCTGGACCAGATAAGTGGGCAGTGAGGTGGGCTGGAAACTTGCTGAAGGAAGGGTTGTGATCTGTGGCACAAAGTCCAGCTGGAGGCCAGTCCAGTGGTGCATCCTGCAGGTCGGTACTGGGGGTGGCTCTGTTTAACATCTTCATTAAGGATCTGGTCATGGGACAGAGTGCACCCTCAGCATGTCTGCAGTTGATGAGAAGCTGGGAGAGGTGGCTGATAATGCCAGAGGGTCGTGCTGCCATCCCAAGAGACTCGGACAGGCTGAGAGGGACTGTGTGGAGTTCAGCAAGGAGAAGTGATGAGTCCTGCCCCTGGGGAGGAACAACCCCAGGCACCAGGATATGCCAGGGCTGTCCTGGTCAACACCAAGTTGACCATGAGCCACCACCTTGCCCTTGTGGCAAAGGTGGCCAACAGTGTCCTGGGCTGCCTAAGGCGGAGTGTCACTGCAGGATCCCCTTCCCCTGGGGCCACATCTGCAGTGCCACGGCCAGCATTTTGGCTCCTGACCTGGGCTGGCACATGTGGCCAGACAAGGAGACGAATCCTAGTCCCCCTCAAACAACATGGTTGTCACTCACAGGATCTGCAGACCATGCTCAGGCTCTCTGTCCCATCACCCAAGGAACAAACACACCTTGAATGAGCTTCTTTGTCCTTGTCACTGTCTCCCCATTCAACCCAGACCTTCTACTGACAGATTTTCACCTGCCTGACGGTGCAGTTGGCTTCGTGTCTGAGAGCAAGCCTCTGGCAGAACTCCAGCCATCCAGGAACCTCCACCAGGCTCTGTCTGCGCTGGGGGAAGGGGCTCATGGCAAGAGTGAGTCCCAGAGCTCAAGGTGATCTGGACCCACAGATGGGGCTGGTGTGGGGACACATGTGGAGGGGAGGAGGCAGGAGGATGCTCTTGGAGAGATGAAGGGTTGCATCCACAACAAAGGACTGCTGTATGTTAGGTGTCCCCAGGGGAGCACGGAGAGAAGCAGGCAATGCTGTTGTGTTCCCTCTCTTTCTGACGTATCTTCCCTTGGCTCCTGCCCCCCATGCTGGACCCATAGCCCCTGCACGTTCATGGCATTTCATTATTTTTTTTATTTTTTTTTTTTTTCCAGGAAATAAAAGCACCCTCCAGGAGGATGGCCCAGAACGCTCGGTGAGTGGAGGTGCCTCTCTGGCCTCGGGGAGAGTGTCCCAGGGAGACACCGCCAGGCAGGGGATCCCCATGACCAGCTCCCCACGAGGTCCCAGCAAACCCCATCCCTGCCGGCCAGTTAACGGGGACTGAGGCAGTCCCACTTGGGTGCCACACTGCTCCCCTCCCTGGTCCAGCAGTGAGGGGAAGGGGCTTGGGGGCTGGTTTTGCCAGATGGGCACCACACAGGGGATGGGACTGCTGTGCTGTGGCAGGTGGAAGACCTTCATGAAGTCCTATGGAAGATGGTGGCAGTGGGTGAGCGCCAGAGCCAGGGATTTACTCAGACAGAGCAGGCCCCTGGGCAACCCAGCAAGAAAGGTGAGTCCTGGGACCTGACCCACCACTGTCCTGCAGAAGTCATGGAAAGCAGGGGCTGGGCTTGGGGTGGGGGGTGCTTATTACTTGGGGTGATGGGTGCCCACGGTTTGGGGTAGAGGGTGCCCATGATCTGGACTAAGGCATTCATATCTCCCTTCCTTTAAACTTTTCGGCTGTGGCTAAGCACTGCTGCAGCCCCTTGCATGGCTGTCTTTTCCTTTTTTTCCAGCTTGCTTCTGGAAATACTGTGTCAGCAAATGAGTGGTGCAGGAGGGGGTCTGCCTGCTGCCTGCCTGCCAGCCCGCTCCCTGCCACCACTGCCCCTCTGCCTGCCAGTGGGACCATCCAGGTGGGACCCCACACCTCGCTGTGGGGTGGTTTACACAGAGCTTTGAAAGGTCTCCGGTCCCTTGGTGGGAAAAGGGGAGAGGGTCTGCAGCAGAGGAGCTGTGTCATGGGGTACAGGGATAGTCCCATCAGGATCCGGGGTGCAGGACAGTGTTTCTCCCATACCAGGGAATCTCCAGGACCCATGTCAAGGCAGAGCTGCCAGCATGGCCTGGCAGACACATGCTGGCTGCCACCAGGAGCTGAATAAACCCTCTCACTGGAGCAGCGTCCTGTGGTTACTCCGTCCCCACACCGCGGGTCCTGCACCCTCCCACCACTGCCTGCACAGCATGGGCAGATCTCAGGGCTCCTGTCCTAGGGAGGGGACATCTCTCCTGCAGGCAGGGCAGGGGCTGCCACCTGCATCCCAGCAATGGCAGAGACTGGGGGCTATGGCTTCACTTATACTAAATCTCAAAAGGGTTTCTGCGGCAGGGAAGCCCCCTCCATCCCCTGCAGCACCCTCCATGCCTGGTGGCCCTGGTCCGTGCACTGACAGGACACAGAAAGGCATATTAAAATATAGTTTATTGCTGTTCTTAGTTTAAAAAAAACCCAAACAAATCAAAATCCATTAGTAACAAAACCTGTCCCCAAACCCAGTGCTATCAGAGGCAGGCTCGCGAGGACACACATTTTAGTGCAAAGAGGGAAGTGGCAGTGAGGGCTGGAGGGGGCTCTGCCATCGCTGTGTCCCCGCAGGACCCACCTCACTCACTGTACAGTATTTTCTCCATGGGACTGGCTGGGGGCGGGGGGCTGGCTGAATTCGCAGCACTGGCAGGAGCCCCTGGGGGAGCCAGAGGTATTGGACGGGTGAGGACAGGACGTCATGGCTGTTCAGAACTGCTTTGGCTCCTCTTGCACCAGCGACACTGGACTGGAAAGCACAAGGCTGAGCCAGGGGGCACCAAACCTGCCCACCTATCTACAGACACAGTGCTTTGCAAAGCAGCTTCTGCCTGCTTTTTGGCTGCCCAGTACTGGGGTGCAGATACCAGATGCCCTACCCGTGTCTCCATCTCCCAGTGAGGCACCTGAAGTGCTGGTGGGGACCAGGAGGGGTGGTGGGGCTGGAGCTGCATGTGGCTGCCTCCCCTGCAGCATCCTGCAAGGCAGGGAGAGGTTTCTTATCTCACAGGAGCCAGACAGGACGTTGCAGCCAGCAGCACATGACCCTGGGTGCTGGAACTCATGGGAGGGATGCCCTGATCCTCAGCCCTCCATCCTCAGCCCTTCGTGAGTCCCTGCACCCCTCTCTCCCTCCGACAGCAGGTCCTGGCACTTTCGTGCCAGGCATCATCCCTCCCATGTCCTGATGGAGGGCTAGACACAGGTTACAGCTCTTTAGCAGGGGGAACAATTTGTCACTGCAACAAACTACCAGGGCAGAGCCTTTCAGTGGCCTCGGATGGAGCCCAGATGCCTTGGTGGAAGGGAGGGCTTGCCCAAAGCAGGCTGTGGGGTGCTGTGCAGGAGGGTGACTGGGTGAACTCAACCAGCTCTAGCCCAGCCATGCACTGGGATGCCTCTTCCCGAGCGCAGGGGCTGGCTGGGGCCACGCGGGGCCGGCAGAGTGGTTCCGGCAGCAGAGGGGGAGGCCCAGCCCCGGGGGTCTCAGTTCTGCCACCGGAGCTCTGCTGCAGAAGGCCAGCACTCGGCTTTTCCCGTGATGCGTGGTCACAGGCCATGAGAGCTGTTCTGGGGACAGGGGTGCAGTTGCCACAGCAGCCAGGCAGGGACCAGTGCATCCATGCAGGTGCTTGGCTGGCGGAGGAGGAGGGGGCAGTGGGGGCTGTGAAGCAAGGCGCTATTTCTGAAAGGCAGGGGGTAGCAATGCTGTGAACCCCCTCCAGTCCCTCCCTTGGCCTGGGCCTGGCGGTGCCAGGACTGCGGAGGTGGGGGGGCTCGGCCGGGGGCAGCGCTGCTGGCGCACCCCGCGTTAGGTCATCTTTCTGGCAACGCTGGCGTAGGTGTGCTCGATCTCCTCGTCCGCGGGACACGTGTGGCTGAACTCGTCACAGGCATAGGCATTGTTGAGGTAGCGCCAGACGCCCGTCATGTCCTCTGGGATCTCAAAGTCGCGGTACTTTTTGGCTGCAATCTAGGGAGGTGAGGAGGAGGAGGAGGCTGAGACTACCCGGTCCTGGGTAAGATTCGCTCTCTAGTTTGGTTGGGGGGGACACAAATATGGGACCCCCAGCTCCCTGTGTGCACCCCTTCACCCTCACTGCCCCTTGGACGGGGCGCCCCCGGCTCTGTCCCTGAGAACTTGTGCCATTACCTTGATGATGTGCAGTTTGGGCAGGAGGTTGCAATCAGCCAGCGTCAGGTGGTCCCCATCCAGGAATTTCCTCTTGGAGACAGTGATGTCCTCCACGCTGTCCTGGTCGATCTCCTCGGGGAGAGGCGTGTTGAGGTAGACATCCAGCCGCTGAAACTCCCGCAGCAGAGCCTTCTCAAGATCTGGGTGGGTGGGGGAAGGAGTGCAGTCAGCCCAGAGCCCAGCGGCTGAGCTCCCCTGGGCTTTGCATACAGGGACAAAGCCCTTAGGATCACACCATGGACCCCTACCAGAGTCTCTGCTCCCAGGGGCTCCCAGCAGCATTACCCACCCCACGGTCCCCTCCAGGACTGCTCTCCCCAGCACACACACCCGGGGCCAGAGCCCCGTGGAGATCAGGGCTGCCTTCACCTGTCCTGCCCGCTCCTCACTCACCAAAGAGGCTTCGGTGGGATGGCAGCAGGAGCCCTAACCTGGTGGCAGGACTTACCCACAGACAAAAGCATCCCTCCCTCCACCCCATCAAGGCAGATCATGGTCCTGCAGCCCCCACCCGCATTTCTTACTGATATTTGCTTCCTTGCGCGGGTTCTTGATGTACGCTGAGAACTTGGCAAAGATGTCACTCCCCACATCGAAGGACTCCTTGTACTTGGGGCTCAGGTGCGGGTACCTTTAAAGAGATACTGGTGTCAGCACAGGCAGGGATGGAAGCAGAGGTTCAGCTGCAGGGTCCTCAGCTGCGTTACCTCCTAGGCTGCGGTGCCCAGGGCTGGTATGGGAGGACGCAGGTGACGTTTAGCTGGTAGTGGGAGAACGGTGATGCTCTAAATTATTGCAGCTGCCACCCTGGGAGCTGTATTATCTTGGGTGGTTGCTGGGGGAAAATCACAGAGCAGGAATGCCACAGTTTGGAGATGCTGGTGGCAGCAGCTCTGGCCCAGCCTGGACGATGTGAGTTGGCACTGGGGTGACCTGGGGGTGCCAGGAACCCCCATTACTTCCTCAGGAACAGACTCTTGTCTGCTGAGGCGTCCCGGGGTGCGCTGCAAGGGCAGGCACGACCCAGGAGGCAGATGATAAATGCGTCTGAAGCTTCCTCTTTCGCAGGCAAGGGAGGGCTCTGGCCACGCAGGGCGGGGGAATGACTTGGTGGGTGTGAGCTCTGGGGGGACTGCCCCCCCAGCAGCCTCTGGGCCACCTGCGTGACATTAGGAGAGCCAGGGCGCTCACTTTGGCTCATCTGAGTGCACCAGAGTGGAGCAGGCAAAGGGGGTCTCAGTTCCCCCTTTGCCTCCACACCAACCAGCCAGCTGCAAAACCACCTGTTCCAGGCATCCTGCAGGGTGCTCCCCAGCCCCCCCAGCCCTGCCTGTCCCATTGTTTTCCATCCCAGCCTGTCCCTGTCCCCTCACAGCCTGACCCACTGCCATCCTGAGGGACACAGACCCTCGGCATCACAGCCCCTGGTCCTGCAGAGCATGGTGCGGGGTGCCAGGTGGGCACACAGCCCCCTCCCCGAGCTGCTCTCGGACACCTCCTGCCTCCATTTTCCAACGACCACCCGCCCCAAAGGGGGGAAGGAGCGACATTGCAATTACGTGGGTGGGCCCAGGGTCTGCTCCAGGAACTCCTCGATCTTAATGAAGTCTGTTTTCAGCTCCTTGTTGAACAGCAAGAAGGGTGGGTTGGTGCCCGGCGCTAAATCTTTCAACTCTTCAGGTTTCCTGGGGTGGAGAAAATAAGTGGGCTCAGAGCATGCAGCTGGCACCCACCATCCTCCCCAGGACGAAGGGACAGGGATGGGGGGGCAGAGATGGGACCAAGAGCATCCCCACTTTTGCTCTGCTGGGTTTAGGGGGGCTGAGAAGTGCCCCCCAGCCTCTCTGTCTGCCCTGTGGTGCCTTGGACTCATATCCACACCCAACAGGACAGCAGGTCCCTGTGCCATGCAGGTGTTGGCACATGGCTGGAGCTCCGTGGCGGCCCACCCCTGCACCCCATGGTGTGACAGGCAGTGTGCGGGAGGGACTGTCACCCCCGTCCCTCTCGTGGCGGCACAGTGGCTGTGGTGCAGGTGGGAGAGAGGACAGTGCTGGTGGGGGGAGGTGAGCCAGGGCTGGGCCATGGTGCCATCTCACCTGGTCATGTCCACCGTGGTGACATTGAACTTGACCCCTTTGAGCCACAGCACCATGAAGAGGCGCTGGCAGAAGGGGCAGTTTCCGATGTTTTCTCCATCCAGACCAGCCTGCCGGGAAAGCAGAGAAACAAGGATTTAACAAGGCTCACCCAGCCAGGATGGGATGCCTGTTGATGATGAGCCACCAGAGCTGGTCTTGGGAGGAAGTCACACGCAGGGCCTAGCACCCCAGCGTTCCATGTGGCAGGGACTCCCCAGCACCGGGACTCAGCTGTAGGATCCTCCCCAGCCCTGCTGCCACTGGAAACCATCGTAGAGCATCCTCAGGACACCCGGGGTCAGATCCTTCCCAGAAATGTGAGATAAAGCTGGGAGGAAGAGAGGGAGGCGGGGGAAGGAGGTGGAGGGTGGTTGCTGATGGATGGGGAGGAAGGGAGGGTCCGCTTGGCTGGAGAGGGCGGCAGGAAGGGAAATGTGCTCATGTTTGCCAGGAAAAGAGCAGTTTGTTTTTGTGTGCTGTTAGTGTCTGCCTCCGGTTTTGTGTGCATTTAACAAACCCAGACATGACTTCCCCGGACTGACAGTGGCCAAGAACCACCCAAGCAGGAATCCTCAGCCTCAGGGAGAAGAAGGGGCTGGGGTGAGGGGGCTGTGCAGAGGAGGATTCACACTGGCATCCCACCCAGCATCAGTGGGGAACAGGGCCATGTGGCAGCCCCTACAGCTTTGATCACGTGCACAGTCTCTTGCAGCCCCTCTGCATGGACACAGTGACAGCCTCCCAGCACTCAGGGGGCTGCTCTGTCACCAGGATGGGGTCAAACAGCAGTGGGGATATGGGACAACATGCCTGAGTCCCACCAGGGCTCCCTCATCAGGATCCCATCCAGAAGATGCCCATTCAGCAATCCCAAGGGAAAGAAGCAGCAGGTGGAGTGAAGCCCATTTCCTTGAAATATCAGCTGAAAGTATCCTTTGCCAAAAGGACTGAAAATCCTTATGAGGAGCTTGGTCAAGAGGAAAGGGGCAGGTTCCCCCCAGTGCATGAAAAGTGGCGTGGATGCTGCTTGGAGAGGGAAGTTGCACTGTGGTGTGAGAGGTAAAATGGCTTACAGGAAGCTCAACTTCTTTCAGAGAATTAACTGGTTCCTCAGCTGCACGTGAACCATGGTCCCCTGGCGCGTGTGGCAGCCCTGCCACTGCAGGGAGGAGCCACAGGGGTCACGCTGCTCCTGCACGGGGGGATGCTGCTCCCCTGGAGCAGCTTGCGTTGGTGCACGAGCCCTGGTGGGACAGCTCAGGGCTCTGTGCTACACTGTGGTATCAGTGGGCGAGCTGAAGTCCAGAGGCTCAGCAGGAGGGTGATGAGCTTTGGGAGGATCTGGTGGTGCAGAAGTCAAGCAGCAGCAATAATGTGCAGGGAGGGCAGCTGGATGAGGCTCCAGAGCTCGCACCTCGCTGGGGTCCCAAAGACAGGATGGCTGAAGATGCTTCATTAGCAGAAGGTGCTGAGACCTCTGGCTGGCTCTTCTGGGCTGGAGGTAAGTGCTACCACTCACCTGTCTGTATCTACAGGTGCCCAGAAACCTGTGGACTCTGAAGTGCTCAGCTTCTCCAGGAGAGATACACCAGCTTAAAACTCACCCTAAAGGAGAGGGTAAACTGATCAAACAACACCCCAGAGTGGTCAGCTGGGGGTGACTGTCTGCTTTTCCACTATGCCAACACTTTTCAGTCCTTCCAGAGGAATGAAAATTACTTTTGACCAGTATTTCCTATGCTCAGCTGTCATGAGTTGATGCTCCTGAGAAAGGAAATGGGAACTGAGAAATGTGTTGATTCTCTGGGATATACCCAGAAGTGAAGCTGAATTCATACACGAGGCTTTCTCCTGACTATTAGTAAGAAATGCTCCCAGGTAGCTGCTGGTCAGGAGCATCCCATGTCAGCTTACAACAAATCAGGCTTCTTTGGTAACAGGTCAGCCTGTGTATTGGGTGCTTGTGAGGGAGCTGGAGGGGTCACAAAACAGCCATGAGAGCTTCTCTGCTCCCCTGGCCCTCTCCCTCCTTGCTGGTACCTACAAGCCAAAACTAATGCCATCCTTTGGAGCATTTCCAGCACCAACAGCTCGGAAGGTGCTTTTGTGGCTGCCCAGCATGAGGACAGACACTCTCCCTGCTCTGCTGCGATGGCCCTTGCTGGTGGCAGAGCAGAGGGCAGCGAGCTGGCCGTGCTCCTGGTGCTGTCCTCGCCCAGCACAAGGCTGAGAGTGAGGCCACTTAGTCATAATTTGTCTCCTTGGCCCACCAGAGCTGTTGAGCTGAGCCAGGGCAGCGAGTGGCTCCAGTGGAGCTGGAGGGGACAGTTGGTGGGTGGGATGTCCCTCACCAGTGCTGTGCTCGCCCGCCCCAGGTTTCTCCAGCCTCTGCACAGCTCAGGCTGGGTTTCCCCATTGTCTTTTAAAAATAGACAGGTGGGGAATTTTGGACCAGAGTGAGAGGAAAATCAGGATGGCCTCTGCAGGGGGAGAAAAAATAAGCCGGGCCCATCCTAGGATGCTCAGAGCCAAATCCTTATCTGGAGAAAGCGGAGGGCAGCTCCACCAGCACTTGGGTGCTGCCGGGGGAGCACCGGGCTCTGGCACAGCCCCGCTGGCAGCCGGGTGACCGTGGAGAGAGCCCTCCAGGAGCCAGGGCAGCCCAGGGGAAAGGGGCTTTGGGACAGGAGCCACAGGCCCTCCCTCCCAGCAGAAGGCAAGCAGCACAGCAGGGAAGCCATCACTCTTCACTTCCTTCTTCCCCCACTCTCCCTGCAGGGACTGGGGTGAGGGTGCAGAGCCTGCAGCACCCCCCAAAATGATTTTTCTCACTCTTTTCCCCTCCAGATGCTAGATACACCCAGCGTGGGCTAGCACAGTGTCTCCAGGGCAGTGTAGGCTTTTAGCCCCAACTCTCTGGAGCCCCACAAGGCTGCACAAGGCACAAATACCCCAAAGTTTCGTAGCAGTTCTTGTGGTTTCCCCTCAGTGAAACAGCATGAGACGTGGCGGGAGGAGGGAGCACCCCTCAGCAGCACCCAACAGCAGCTCTGTTGGGGAGCACCCAACAGCAGCGCTGGGGCACCCAGCACCAACCAGCGCCCACCCATGGATCCTGCAGCCACCCCAAAAGCCGGGAAGCAGCCTTGGGGGTGACTAATGCCTCACGGGGCTGAGTGGCAGAGCCCCCCAGCTGGTGGGACGATGCTGTCACCGGGGCCACAGCAGGGTGAGGCATTGCCAGCACGGTGGGGACAGCTCGCCCCAACCCAAAGGCGATGCGGGAGCTGCTCTGCACCTTCCTCATCCTCCCCAGCCCAACGACAGTGTTTGCTGAAGCAAAAACTAGGCAGGGCTGGCACGCGGGGAACCAGCTCCCCCGTGATTTACCACTGTCATGGGTCACACCATGTCTCAGGGCAGACCCCAGCCCAGCAGAGGTGCGAGGTGCCCATGGTCTGCAGCCAGGAGCTGCTGTGACTTTGGTAAAACTGGGTCCTGAATGGCAGGAGGAGGCACAGCACCAATTTGTCTGCTAGCGGACAAGTCAGAAGGGTTTTTTCATGCTAAATTAAGGTGTAGGGGAAGTCCTGACGACGCTGCGACTTTGTTTTCTGTTTCCCTTCCCTCCAAAAACCCCCTAAACGTGCTGCCGCCATTGCAGTCACCTCATGTATCATTTTCCTCTTCTCCCTACCCATTCCAGGGAAAAAGTGGTGCTACAAAGGGAATTCAAGACCCGAATTACTTTCAACAAGAAAATACACTTGTCTGGATTTGGCTGAGCCAAGCTTAGTGCCTGGCAAGCAAGCACCACCATGGCTGCAGTTTTGACAGGAGATGGGGGAGATCCCTCCCGCGAAGGCTCAGATAACCGTTTCCCACACGAGTTTCCAACTACAACCCACGCGAGGCACCGCACAATGCCCAGCACAGCCAGGTGCCTGCACCAGGGACACCAGCCAGGCACCACGGTCCTTTGGGGCATCAAGCTGCCCCCAGAGAGGAGTGAAGCCGTTGGGAAATCCCCCCTAAACCTTCGATGTGGTGGCACAGGGAGGCACCACTCCCCTGGCCACCGTGACTCAACAGCTTGTCCCAGGGCCCCGCTGGCATCACTGCTGGCACAGGCAGTTACCAGCTGCCAGCTTCGGCTCCTCTCCTCCTACACCCTGCGTGTCCACTGCAGATCTTTTGAACTTGAGTGTTAAAATGTTCCAGGGGAAGTGTTTGGAAAATTGCTTAACAAGGGAAAGAAAAAAAAACATTTCCAGCAAATAATCCCCCCAGGCTGCTCTGCGAAACCGCCCCATCCCGCCCACGCATGGGCACCCGCCGGCTCCCGGAGCCCTCCACACTCTGTTTTGCAACCCTGGCTGGCAGGAGAGGCTGGAGTGGCAGCTCTCAGCCCTACCGCTCGCTGTTCCCAGGCTGGGGCTTGTCTTATCTGGGTTTCGAGAGGAGTGTGTGTGCCCGCTCCTCCGTCACACCGGCTTCCAGCACTGCTGCTCCTCGGGGTACATGACCACCGTGACACCAGAACATCCTCTGGGATGATGGGTGCGGCACCCTGCCGGTCCCCTGCGCCACCGCCTGCCTGGTCCCCTCCTCTGAGCACCCGCTCAGCCAGCCCTCACGGTGAGGAGCCATCCCAAACTTGGTGCCCGTCTCCAGCCTCTCGAAACGTGAAGACACCCATGAATTTCCACCGCCCCCGCCCGGCCAGAGCTTGCTGAGGATGAGCCTGCTTGAACTGTCAAAGAGCAACCGTCCATGCCTCAGGGACCCACCTTCACAAACAGCTCGATCTCAGGCTCCTTGGTGGTGGTGTGCTGCCGACTCTCCATCTCGGGGGAGGGACCGCTGGCCGCTCACTGCTGTGGTGAGTTGGTCAGTCCTCTGCAGAGCTCCGCCGGGTTGGCTTTGGGAGGGCTGGTGGCTGAAGCACCCCGTCTGCGCTCACCCTGCGGAGGGCTGGGGCTCACCCTTTCCTTCCTTTAAGCGGGGAGGAGCGATGGGGTGTGCGCCGGGACCTGCCAGCGGGGAGGGGGAAGCTGCGGGGCCTCCCAGCCGTGACTCAGCACGGGTCTATCTGGACAAGTTCATGGGTCCCCTTCCAGTCTATCGCAGCCACCCAGGCACGGAGCCGCTGACTCGAGCCCTGGGCTGGTGGCCCAGGCGTCCACAGAGCCACTGCTGTCACCTCCCAGCTGGGAGTTGGGGGGGCCTGCAGAGGAAGCATCTCATCATGTTGATCCGGTCTGGTCTCATCCCTTCGCCATCCTCCCACCCTTGTGCCCGCACACCAGGGCTCAGCCACTTTGTTATCTCTTTGGGGTGACCCACACTGACCTTCCCACCACCTTTCCCCTCCCACTGCTGCATCACCATGGGCAGCTCCTCTCCCTGCCCTCTACCCCAGGGATCCCCCCGGGTGGGCTCCCCTGAGCACCCCCCAATGCAAGGAGCAGGGGCCAAGTGGGGCCAGGGTTCTCGGAAGCCGAGCAGGGCAGCCTGGCCGATAGCTCTTCACAGTGAGCCCAGTGCTGCTCAGGAGCAGACCTCGGGCAGGAAGGATTGCAAAACACCGGGGAGGGAAGGCAAAGCGTCCGGAGCCCCTGTCAGGGTGCAGCGGGGAACCCCAAGCGCCAGCAGCAGCCCAGCCAGGGCAGAGTGATAGGAAGGGATGTCTCCAGGGCTGACCCCCCAGCAGGGCCCCGTTCCTGGAATTTGGGCTGTTTCACAGGAAGGATGACCAGCTTGCTCTCCTCCCCAGGATGGGAGGGAAACGTTCTCCGTCAGCCCATCCTGGCAACCGTCCCAGTGGAGGCGGCTTCCCAGCACCCACGGGCTTGACTCCTCTCCTGGGCGAGTCCCGTCTCTCACCTTGGGGACCCCAAAGCTGATACTGAGCTTGGCACAAAATGGGGATCCTGATTGCTTGGCTCAGCTCCACCCCAGCTCGGGTAAGATCAGACCTTCCTAGAAATAATCAAACTCTGATAAGAAAGCATCCACCCTGAGGCGACTGGACTGGGAAAGGGTTATGCAGGCTCCTTGAGGAGTCTCTCAAAGGGAGGTGTTTCTCCTGGGTGCTGCTGCACAACCCAGAGCGGGGCTTGTGCTGGCGGCTCCTTGGGAGGGGCTGGGGGCATTTTTCTTTCTGCCCCATCAAAGCTTTTGGAGAACTTGAAACTCCACCCCGTGTGGACAGGAAACTGCCTGAGATTCCTCATGCGCGAGGGATGAATTAAAGGTGGTGTGGGTGCCAAGCAGGGCCACGGCAGCACCCTCAGCAGGCAGGAGCTCGGTACTTATCTTGCCTCCCCCTCCTACCCCCCTTCCCTGCCCTTGCTGCAGACCCCCAGGTGATGCTTGCTGGTCCCTGCGGCCCCCCACCCCCCCCTAGGCCGCTGCTGCCAGAGCAATGCTGAGCCCAGCCGGCTCCTGGCACTGCCGGCTGCTGCCTTCCCTGCTGACCTCAGTCCCAAGGGGCAGCTCCTGCCCCTTGCGTCCCCTCCAGCTGGACAGGGATTCAGCCCCTGCGGGGCAGGGGACACAGAGATGGCATGGTGCCCTCCTCGTGAGATGTCACAGCACACAATATCTGGCCCTGCCGAGGCCGAGGGGGCAGAAGGGCAGCAGCAGCAAAGAGGTCCCTGCCTGCAGTGTTTGATGCAGGGATGGGGTTTTCCTCTTCTGCGGGAACAGCCGCCTTGGGAGGCAGCGCAGGCAGCCCTTCCCTTCCTCCTCAGACGCTCAATGGCCGGACATTTGCAGAGATGGAGATTAGGGCATACGTGTATCCGGATTCGTGCCTCTCCATGTCCATGAGAAAGCCGGGGGCACATTGGAAACTTCATCAACCCCCGTCCCTCTGCTCGGGGAGAATGGAGGCAGGAGGGAAGGGGCTGCCAGTTTCTCTGCCAGCAACGGTCATCCAAGGCACGACACCCACTTCCCTACCACAGAGCGCCTTCGGAAATATGTCCCTCCCTGTGGGAGGTGTCCCCGTGCTGAGGGTGTCCCAGCTGCCCAGAGCAGCCCCTTACCCTGGGAGCAGACAAAGCGGGCGCGCAGGCGCCCCAGCGCTTTGGCAGGGCAGAGAAGTGAGCCATTGTCCCCGCACTGCCAGTCCCGGCGCCAGCCGCCACCGAGGACCAGCAGAGCTGCCTGGTGGGACACATAGAGCCAGCAGCAGCTGCACCATGGCCAGGCTAGCGGGGCCAGCAGCAGCCCTGGTTCTCCTCTGCCTGGCCGTGGGGCTGGAGGCCAGCCCAGAGCTCTCTGGTGAGTCGGGGCGCGGGCACAAGGGGTGCCGGGGACCACACCGGTGTGAGGGGAGGGTGACACAACAGCCAGGTTGGTGGGGAAGGGACAAGCAAGGCACAAGCCAGTGCAGGCCAGGGAGAGTTTGCCAAAAAAAATGGGGGTTTCTATCTCCATGGCAGAGCTGGGATCTGAAAACACTGCATGCGAGTCCCATCACCCTAATGTGAGAGGGAAAGCATCTCCTCCCACTGCTGCTGTGCTCCCTTGGACAGATTTGAGGCAGAAATGCAAAAAACCCAAACCTTAAGACAGTCCCCAAGCTTTCCTGAGACCCAGGAACCCAGACTTTTCTGGCCATGATGCTCATGCCCTTGGTGCTGGACAGTGTGTGGAGCTGAAGGCTCCCAGAGCACCCTGGGCTATCCTGGGAGCCTTTGCTGCCTGGAGAAGGTGAGGGAGGAGATGGGCTGAAGTTCTACCCCATTCCTGGCCGGAGCCGTTTGCTGCAGTGTCCAACCAGAGCCACCTGTGAGCAGGGGAGCTGTGGGCACAGCGAGGGCCACATCCTCTCCCTGGCGCAGCACCCATGAGCCTTATCCATGTAGCTGAGGCATGAATTTGGGATCCCTTGTGCCCCAGTGCTTGGGACAGTCAGGAGGGGTGCGGGCAGGCTGGGCTCCCAGGGCTGCCCTTCCTCTGAGGGATCCTCCAGAAGCTGCCCTGCAGACTCCCCAGCCCGGCACAGTGCTGCCGAGCGCAGCGGGGCAGAGGATGTGATTTCATCTGGGCAGAGCCAACGGCACGACTGCACCATCAGGGACTGAGTCAGCAGCACCGGAACCACTCACAAAACCTCCCCATGGCCTCCTTGCCATGGTTTCACCCAAAAAACCCTCCCATCTTCATAATTGCTCGCTGCCCCAAAATGGTGTGATGGAGAAACCTCTGGCCCTGTTTGAGCCTTGGTTTTAAAATACAACCCCCCAGTGCTTCCAGCCGGCACGGCAGCAGAGAAGCGTGCCTGCTGCAAGGCAGGCTGAATTTGGGGAAACCTTTTTCTCCTCCTATTCCTCCCTGTGTCCCCCATCATCCCCAGGATGTGGGCCAGCCCTCTGTGCACAGGGCTCTCCCAACATTGGGGGAATGTGGGCAGCCCCACCATCTCGGGGACAGGCAGGCTGGTTGGGAGTGGGTACCAGGCAGAAGTTGAACCCTGGGCGGCTCTGGAGCCAGCACAAGAGCCTGGTGGCTGCTGCAGCTGTGAGTGGAGAGGAAGGAGAATGGGGACCAGCAGCCCGGGCAGGGTCCCATGCCCCTCACGGCCCCCAGTGTCCTGTGACATGGGACAACCAGAGGAAAAGGGCAGGACAGGGCTTGTCCTGGGCCCCTCTTTGTGGGCATTGCACCCAACGGGACTGATCCAGCTCTGTGTCCTCCAAAGAGCAGCTTTGCATCTCACTGGAGCTTTGATCTGGCTAAAACAGCTCGTCTGCTCCCATCCACCTTTCTCCGCCTTTCCCCTCCTCCAGCACAGAGGGGCGAGCAGGGCTCGCTTGCACCAGGCTGTGGCACTCCCACTCCTGCACCCCATGCTTGCAAGGAGAAAGGAGCTGAGAAACGCTAGTGGCTGCCTGTGCCCCAGGGAAGGATTAACTCCGAGCTGGGGCAGCCGCGTCTACAGACATCTCCAGGGAGGGATGCTGGCCACTGCTGCCAAAGCGTTAGTGGCAGCCGGGAAAGTGAAAGGGGCCTTTGTGCAGCTGAGCCTGGCACTGGGTTGCAGAGGGACAGAGGGAGAAGTGTGGGGCTGGGAGCCGTCATTCCCACCTTCTTGTATTGGTTTGGGGGGGCTGACACACTGCGGGCAGGGGGATGGGGTGTGGGTCCCTCCAAGGACCCCACAGCTGGGGACAGCTCTATGACTCACCCAGCAGCCCGGGGTCCTTCCAGGCAGGAACCAGGCTGCCCTGTCCCCACCTCCCAGCCTAAAAATGATGCTTCCCCTCTGCTCTTGTTTTACTCAAAGGCCTGATGCAAACTGCTCTGTCCAGGGCCTTACACATCATTTTTTTTGTCAGCTTGTCCTGAATCCTCAGCCTTCTCCAGTAAATGGCACCTGCTCAGAGCACCCCTGGCAGCTTGCTCTTTTATTACAACAGCCTCATTGCTCACCCAGCACAGCTGAATCCAGTCAGAGCTGATAGCTGTGTGTTAACTATCTTAAAGGCTGGGCAGGACAGCACCATGATAGTGTTCCCTGTAGGGAAAGCAACAGAGTGAGTGGTTTGGGACACAAACTAGGCAGGGTTAAAAGACAGAAATACCCTCTGCCAGGAATTCAGGGAGAGAAAGGCTAGTGCCTGTCAGAAAGGCCACGGGCTGGGAATGGTTCTCACCAACGCAGTGGGCTTCTGCCACAGAGAGACCTGGGGTTGGCTGGGCTCAGGTAGCGGGTGGGTGACTCGGACCCATCCATACCAACCCCCCCAAGTGCAGGAGCTTGCAGCAGCTGCTGGACCCTTCTCTCCTCCAGCTCATGGCTCAGCACCGTGTGACGGACAAGCATTCTCCTCTCCCTGACTCTGGGGATAGCACCAGGTGATCATCTCTGGCTTATCTTTGCTCTCTCCTCCCCATGTCTTCATAACAAGCCTGATGTTCTCTAAGCCCTTGACTACTCCTCACGGGATTCTTCTGTACCTGATTGTTCTGACCTGTTGTCCTGCCTCCACCTTTCACTTCCCTTTGTGAACCAGCTCAGCTACTCCACGCTGCTTTCCAGCCTCCTGGCTGCAACGCTGGGTGTAAGATTTGGCACAAGCCCACTTTCTCTACCACGGCCCCACTCTGGTCCTGTTTGTCCTGCAGATGCCCCATCCCAGGACATCCTCACTTCCACTGGCTGTCAGGAGCCCAAGCACCACCACAACTGTGGTTGTGGTGCCTCCTCCAGCCAACACGGTCTGTGCTCTCCCCTCCCAGGGTACCTGCGCAAGGTGCTGAGGAACCACACAGCCCACACCTGCGACGGGGAGCAGCTCCTCATCGTCTGCCCTCGCAAGACCACCATCAGCATCCTGGGTGCCTTCTATGGGCGCCGCGTGCCCAGCTCCAGCCTCTGCCCCAGCCCTGCCGATGCCTCCCAGGAAAGCACTGAGTGCTCATCTGCCACTGCCCACCTGGTAAGGGCGGGGGGGGTCCCCAGGGGCTGGGCTGCATACCCGTCCTTCCCCGGGTCACTGGGCTGCCTGCTTGGGGTTGGGGGGGGCAAGGAGTGTGGCCTTCCCATGCCCCACCAGCATTCACCCCTGGGGTCCTTTTCCTGGAGCATTTTTCGGAGACAAAGAGGGTGAGTTCCAGTGTGGGGCAGCCCTGCCAGAGGAGCCTGGCAGGAGGCACCACCACATCCCCGAGCTGGCTTTTGGGATAATCCCACGGGACACAGTCCCTGGCAGGGTCCCAGGAGAGGGACGGTGCAGCAGCTGGGGCACCAGCCTCAGGTAGTGGGATAGGGACCCTGAGGGATGCTGCGGGTGCTTCCCCTGGGGTTAGCACAGAGCTGGGCTCTTCCCCAGCCAGGAGAAGCACCCATCCGTGCTGGCAGCTCCCAAGAAGTGAATTAATGAAGCAGGCCCAAAGCAGGGTCTGTTGAATGCAGTAGCTGGCACAGGGAGAGGGGAGAAAGGCAGGGGCTGGCAGAAGGGATGGGATCTCTCCAAAGGTGATGCCTGGCTGGAGGAAGTGCTCACTGGGCTCCTGCAAAAGCTCTGCAACTGCTCCATGCTGTGGCTGTGCTTGATTCTGCTTTGTGTTTGAGGGAAAACCCTGTGCCCGGTGAAGATACCAGTCTTCCAACAGCCCCACACATGAGGCATCATGAGCTTGAGGAATGGGGCAGACAGGAGCTGGGAGGGATGTCGTCCCTTGGCATCCTGCAGCTTTTCCCTGGCTTCTGGCTCTCCATGCCAGCACGGGTGGCCTCCACATCCCTGGCCTTGGGCTGCCCTGGAGCATCACAGCAGTCAAGCAGGAAGGAGCAAGGAGAGCAACAATGCTCATTCTGCTTGTCCTTTGCCAGCCAGACTCCTCTGGTTCTCAGCAACTTCAACCTTGGCTGAATGTTGGAGCCCAATCTTCCCGGGACTGCCCTGGCCTGTGTCCCCCCTGGGGCCTTGTAGTCGCAGGAACCTGATCACTGCCTTGTTCCGAGCCCTGCTCTGCCAGACAATGCTCCTCAGCCCCAGCTGCAGATCCCTGGTCCAGCTCCTTGGCTCTGACCATGGCTGAGGAGATGCTGCACCCACTGGCTGCAGGAGAGTGGCTGTGATGGGCAATGCGCCATGCCAGACACAGCACACCGCAACCGTGCCCACCTTTCCCTCCGGGCCACTGGGCTCTGACAAACCCAGGGCAGGCAGGATGCTTGGTGGGGACCAGCAGGAGGGTGCCCCAGTGGGGACAGGGTTTCATGTCCTACTTTTCCTGCTCCAGCCCCTTGCTGGAGCTGGGGCAAAACCACAGCCAACCCAGCTGCATGTAGCTGCCCTGTGGGGAAGGGGAACCTGGAGCCGGCAAAGAGGAACAAGAGCTGAGAGGCCAGTTCCCTGCTCTAGGGGCTCAAGAGGCTTTGTTGCCTGGTCTTGCCCCAGCCACAGATCCCTTCCTGGTGTCCCACACGTTCTGGGAGCTCTGCAAGCACCAAGCTGCATCATGTGGGCATGGCACCAAGCCGGCCCTGCAAACAAGGGTCAGGGTCCCAGAACTGGTGTGTCAGGCACAGGGTGGAGGATATGGCCCAGCACAGACATCTGGAGACCGAAGGGCAGATCTGTGAGCGGGGTCGCTGCTGCTCAGGTTTGCAGTGAGATGGAGCTGCTCCTCTGGGGACTGTGATTGCAGGGGGCTCAGTTTCCTGCATCCCGGAGGCTGCTGTGGGAGGAGAAGGGGTGTCTGGACAGCAGAAAGCAAGGCAGCTGCTGCAGCTCAGCGCTGTTTAGCCAAAACCTGGGGATGGACATTAATTACATTTCCTCCTCAAATTTCACTTCTAGCAGCCGGTGGAGACCAAGAGGAGGCTCAGCCTGTGCTGGTCCGGCGGGGACAGGGACAGAGGAGGGGAAGGAGAGATGAAATGGGGCTCCCATCGGCTCAGGTGGGGGGATCCCGGGGCCCGAGTGGTAGGGCAACTTCCCAGAGGGGCAGCACCGAGGGTCAGAAACAAGCCATGGCCCTGCCACCGCTGCCACCAGCAGCCTCGGCCCCGGCGGAGGGTTTGCTGCTGCTGGGACCGGGGGGCACTTCCCCGCCACCTGCCCAAGCCCAGGGCTGCCGGGAGAGCCCTGCCGGGGCCACCCCGCGGGTCTGGTGGCGTCGCCTTTGGGCTAGCAGGGGCACGGCAACGGCCGCCCCGTCCCTGCCCGAGCCGCCCGCTGGTGCGAACCCCCGTCCCCATCTTGTGGCCGCGCCCGAGCATCGCACGGAGCCCCGGGGCCGTGTCGGTGTGTGCGGCTGTTACACGGGGCTCTGTGTGTGTGAGAGTGTTGCATGGAGCTGTGTCAGTGTGCACACCTGCGCAGGTTTTGCACGGAGCTGTGTCGGTGTGCACACCTGCACGGGTGTTGCACAGAGCCTTGTCGGTGTGCACGCCTGTGCAGGTGTCACACAGAGCTCTGTCGGTGTGCACACCACAGGTGCTGCACAGAGCCATGTCAGTGTGCACGTTTGTGCAGGTGTTAACACAGAGCTCTGTCGGTGTGCACACCACAGGTGCTGCACAGAGCCATGTCAGTGTGCACGCCTGTGCAGGTGCTGCACACGTGTGGCGTGGTGTGGTGCTGGTCTGCCTGCTGGCACAATGCTCTGCGTGGGTGCAGGGGGGGAACTGGTTCAAGAACCGGCACATGAAGTGGGGTGACTGCAGCGGGGGTGCAAGCAGCCACGGGACACCTCTGCAAGGTGGGAGGCCATTTCCCTGAGCCTGGTGATGGCACCAAGGGAGAGAAGGCAAGAGCAGCCTCAGGACTCCTTGCCCACCTTCACATCTGTTCTGTTTTGCTCTTTTGCTCTCCAGAAGCTGCTCTCTGAGTGCCAGGACCAGCAGTGGTGCCAGTTCTCCGTGCACAGCCAAGTCTTTGGCCCGGACCCGTGCCCTGGGACACACAAGTACCTCATCGCTTCCTACAAGTGTCGCCCAGGTGAGGTGGAGGGGTCTGAGCAACACTGCCTGGGCTCTTACCCGGCCTTGGCTGCTCAGAAAGGGGCAGAGGGGTGGGCGAGCTGTTCCTGTACCTCACAGCCCTCCTCCAGCCTGCCCTGGCAGCTCCCACACCCTAGGCTGGGCTAAGGGAGGAGGGCTGTGATTTGGGATGCATTGGGACACTCTGCGGTGTCACTCCCCAGGGAACCATCGGGTCAAGACTGTGTGTGAGAACGACAAGTTGAGGCTGCAGTGCCGATCAAAATCTGTCCTGGCCATTTATTCTGCAAATTACGGACGATTCCTGAGAGGCAAACCAGAGTGCGATGCCCTGAACACTGAGGGACCTCACATAGGTACACCAGAACAGTTCAAGCCAGAAATGGGGCCGAGGTCCATGCAGAGAGTGTGGCACAAGTATGGTATTGGGCTGTACCTGTGCCCCAGTGGGCAGGAGCAGGCAGGTTTGCCTGCAGGTCCGTGCCCTGTGTCTTTGCAGAGTGCTTGGCTCCAGACGCCCTGCGGAGAGTCTCCAAGAAGTGCCACCGCAAGGGGAACTGCACCGTGGCTGCTGACCGGGCCACCTTTGGGGACCCATGCCTCCCTGGCATGAAGAAACAGCTGCGAGTCTCCTACACTTGCGGTGAGAGCCGCCCATGGGGTTGGGTCGGGGCCCACCAGCTGAGCCCCTGCTGTGCCCACCACATGCCATGCTGGCAGGGGCACGGGGCTCCTGGGGAGACAGGGAGTTGCTGGGGACAATCAGGGAGGTGATGCTCAGCGTGTTCTCTCCTTGCAGTGCCCAAGCAACTGCTGGAGGAGGTGGGCCCGGACACCTCGGACCCCTTCCTGCTCTCGGACTACATGCATGGTAACCTGGGGGGAGGCTATGCCAAAAGCAGTGCAGCATCATGTCAGCACCTGCGTGAACCCCCCCTTCCATGGTACCCCCGCTGGCAGGGGCCCTGCAGCTCCATCCCAGCATCGCTGCCCCATGGCTGAAGCTGCCCGTCGGTCAGTGCCCATATCTGAGGGGCTGGAGAAATGTGGTCTGCTGGGAGCAGGGGAGAGGAAGACCCGCAGGGAGCAGCCCTGCGGGCAGCAGAGCCTGTGTGGGCAGGAAGGAGCATGGCGTGGGGCAGGAGGCAGGCAGGGCAGGCAGCCAGGCAGCGGGGTGCTGGGGAGCACCCCACGTCTCAGCCTGCATCCCCTTGTTCGCTGCAGGTGGCTGGTACAAAGGGCCCAGGTTCTCCAGGCTCCGGGAAGACCGGATGATTTTTACTAGCTCCCTGGCGGCTTTTGCCCACCTTTGGGGTACGTGCCCTCCCCGGCTCTCACGCAGCACCTGGGGGAGCGGGACAGGCTTGGGAGGGTGGCTCAGGTCCCAAGATGGTCTCTGCTCAGCCTGGGGCTTGAAGGCAACCAGATCCCTCCAGAGGGTCAGCAGGTATGTGAGAGAGAAGGGCACCAAGCCCCCATACTGGGTTTGAGGGGGAACTGCGTAGGGCAGGAGCTTGGGGGGTGAACGAGCCCCGAGATCCTGCAGCATCAGCAGTTGCAGTGCTGCTGCGGTCCTGCCTGCAGACCTTCCTTCTCTGACAAGCTGAATTACTCGCTGGGTCTCCTTCCTTCCTGCCCTGTCTGCAGGGGCACTGATGGAGAGCACCCCTCTGCAAGAAAAAATTTCCCTTGCCAGGGGAAATTACTCCTCTAAATCCCTGGCAAGATGATTGATCCCCCTGTGCTGCCTACCCTGCATCCCAATGGGGGATTCCTATAGGAAAAGGGGCATTCTGGGACACTGGTGGGTGCTGATGAAGCTCTGGATGATGCTGCCACCATCAGTGGGGCAGGGTCTGTCCTGCTCCTGCAACCTGGGTGTGAGGGCATCCCTGCTGCCCTCCTCTTCCTCTCATGTGCCTGGCAGAGGAGATTTTTCAGGCAGTGGTACCCCCACAGGCTGTGGAGGTAGTTTGTACCCCAGTGTCTCTCTCTGCTCTTCACCCTCCAGGTGTCCCAGAAAAAGTTGGCCTCTACTTTCTCTGCGGGGTCTCAGGAGGCCTCATGCTCCTGCTGTGCATCATCAGCCCCAAAAACACCTTCCTCCAGGAGGTGGGGGAGGCTCTCAGAGACACGGAGCTGGGGAGCAGCTCGGAGCTGAGCAGGACCAAGCTGCGGGATGAGCAGGATGAAGACCTTCCTGATGACAGCTCCTCAGATTCCTCCTTCCGCCACCTCACCCGCACCTACCGGGCCACTGACAGCATCTTCGGCCCTGAGCTGACAGCAGCCATGGAGGGAGTGGTGGAGCACCAGGGTCGTGCTGGGGAGGAGATCTGGATGCCCAAGGAGTCAAGCCCGTACGCCATCCAAAAGATCAAATCAGCCACCAAATAAGAACTGAAAGAAAATGGGCAGAGAGCAGTGGGGAGCAGAGACTAAGTGGGATCTGGCATTGGAAGGACACAAGAGTTAGGGCTCCTCGGGGTGAGTGGGCATCCCGAGTGGCAGCAGGGCCACAGCAGCCCCAGTGTGGCCATCAACATACTGCTCCACCAGCCTGGAAACTTCTAACCCAAGGGTGAGATGAGGTCCCTGGGTGTAAGGAGGGACTGCAGGAGGGCTCGTGGGGCCACTGGCTCCTTTGGCACCAACACGCCGCTAACCCTAAGCTAACCTCCCTGTTCTTGGCTTATATCGGCTGGCTCTAGTCCTTAACCCCACTCCGCCACACAGAGCCCACCCTGAGCCTTTCCAGGCTGTTTGCTCCTCTTTATTCTTGGGTGCTGCCTTCCACCTCTGGTGCAGCAAACACCCGGCAGCACTCAGACAGCGTGCCAGCGGTGGAGATGCAGGAATGACCAGGATGCGAGGTGGGTGCAGGCAAAACGGGTGGGAGAGCACCGCAAGCATCACCCAGCATGGTCCTACCACGCTGCATCCCTTGCAGCCCTGATGTCCCCAGGGGAGTGGCACCCCGGGGCTGGGGCAGCTGGCAGCTTGGCACAGTGCTGCCTGTCACCTCCCTGCAGGCACTCAGGAGCTCTGTCACCCTGCACAGTTCTGCGCTTTCCTTCATGCTTCCCCCACCGGCAGGAGAGCCCCAGGGTTAACTTGTTGGGGCTTTTTCCAGTAAATAAATGCAACAGCTCACAGACACAACTCTCCCTCCCTGACCTCTGCCATTGATAGTGAAAAGCGAGCAAAAAGGCAGCAGCAAATCTCAGCCCCCGCCATGCGGATGAGCTCCTTGCCTCCCACAGGTGTTGCTGGCACTGGGCCATGGGAAGCAACAAGTTGGGCCTGTTTTAGCTTGGGAAAGGATAAGGTTTTAGCCTGGGGAAGGGAAAGGGGGGGAAAGCAGTCTGTGTGGATCCCATGAACAACATTTCTCTGCCCTTGCTCCTTCTCTTGGGCCTCAGGCTCTCAGTCTGGTAAGCAAACGTGCCCAGATGCCACGCAGAGAGGCTTCTCAGCAGCACTGTGGGAGTGCCAGGGAGCTGGGCTGGGTCTGTGGCTGCTCCAGCTCCAAAGGGCAGCGTGGGCTTCTTAAAGCTGTGGGAAGAGGCTGGATGAAAGCAGCAACCCAGCTCTTCTCATCACAGGGACATTCCAGGCACTGATGCTCTTGAGACAGCAGGTAGCGGGTTCTGGTTTTGCATCCACCACCGCACATGTGTGCCTGGGCTGGGCGCAGCGAGAGAGGGCTGGGGGGGGTGTTGGTGTTCTGCAGCCAGAGCTGCGCTGTGCTCGGCGGTGGATGCTCTCCCAGCGTCCTATCTGAGGGATGCTGGAGCCTGAGGAGAGTCTGGGGGGCTCTCACCTCAAACTGGCCCCCAGCATCCCTAGATGACAGGCAGGACTGAGACCAGACTCAGCCAGCACAGCCTCTGCTGCAGACCCACGGCGTTCACCTTGCAGGGCCCACTTCTTGCTCTTTCATCCATTCTCCCTTGATGGCGAGGTGGGATTTTGGTGGCCCCTCAAGGCAGAGCGAGCTTTCACTGAAGGCAGGGCTTTGGTGAGCGGTCAATGCCGCACAGAGCCCCACATTACAGTAACCCTGAGTTGTGCCTTGTGAAGAGAGGATCTAGTAGTTGTTTTTATCCATAGAAAGTTGAAATTTCTAGTAGTGGTTTGTATTTTTAAAATATTCTATCGTAGACAGGTAGTATAACCTTGCAGGTGCTTGCTTATCTCGGATAAGGGATGGGAGGACGACACAAGGTGCCTGAAGCCGAGGCCGAAGCTCCGAAAAAACAGCCAGGACTAGGCCTGTGATTTGGACGAACTCCAGGGGTGATCTGAGCCTGCACCAGACACAGAGGTGAAAAGTTCACAGAGAGGAAGACTACTAACTTCATCCCTGAGACCCCCTGTCTACCAAGAAGCACTGAGCAGACTCAGGGGGGTCAGAAGTTCATTTGCATGAGAAGCGGGGAAAGTTAATGCATGTGGTGTTGTCGATACACCAGAGGGATGGGATGTCATCCAAAAGGACCTGGACAGGCTGGAGAGGTGGGCCCAGGTGAACCTCATGAGGTTCAACAAGAGCAAATGCAAGGTTCTGCACCTGGGCCAGAACAATCCTCACCATCAGTACAGGCT